CCTGTTGCTCTGTCCCAGCTCTTGCCAACCCAGCAGTTTGAAAGCATGCCAGTGCAAGCAGATAAATAGGTACCGTTGCGGTGGGAAGGTAAACGGCGTTTCCATGCACTCTGGCTTTGGTCACAGTGTTTTGTTGTGCCAGAAGCGGTTTAGTCACATGACGCAGAAAGCTGTCTATGGACAAACGCCGGATCCCTTGGCCTGAAAAGTGAGATGAGCGCCACAACCCCATTGTCGCCTTTCACTGGAGTTACCCATCCTGGAGTCCTTTACCTTTACCTTACATGTGGTGTTTTCCTTCTAAGGCAATCAGTGCTTAATTTTGAGTGCTCATGTTCAGACATACTCAGCACGACACAAAACAGTCTCTCCTAAAACCATAATTTAAATTACCATTATGTCTGGAGACTCCAAGTGTGTTCTCCAACATAATTATTCCATATTCATGTAATTGGCTATTCATGGTGAATCAGGATTAAGTCTTGCTGTCTGAATTTCACTGTCAGATACATCTTGTGTGCTAACTTCCTTTGTTGCCTTTGGAGAAAAACAAGTGGGTCCTGCAACAAAATGTTGCAGCATGGGCTGCCTGTGTTCATTGTTCTAATAAGAGAGCCATGTCCTCCTCCAGGATCATCCTTTCCAAGCCCTGCTTAAAATGACCATGCTGTAAGATTCGGACTCCCTCTATGGTGTCAATATGTGAATAAATCATACTTCTTAAAGCTCCAACGGTCACTGTCACGCCTTCAACTCTCTAAAGGAGCACAAACCCTGGGTGAGCCCCTTGAAACCCCTGGAATCTTGCTATCACTGGGCAGAGAGTGAGGATGGCGCCCAACTTTTTTAACATGTGTACTCAGAAGTAAGTCACATTGAGTTCAATGGGACCGACTCCCAGGACAGTATGTCTAGAATTGCATCCGAACTCTCCAGTTGAATTTGATGGAGTATGCGCAGCTTGTGGATCTAACATATAGAATAAGAGAACAAGAAGAACATTCCTTTAAAGAAGATTGGAAAATGTTTATTGAATATATGGGGGGGGAGTTGTGTACACTTGAAAATGTTGGCAGCATTAAGATAAATTCAACAGTGTAAATAAGTTTTGATGGAAGTAATAATCAAATACTGAATGGTTTAGTTGATATAAAATATGCTGGGATTTATGCTATGTAAAATGAACCATTGAAAGAGAAGAAAGGAAGTCATTGATATGTTAAGGGAGTATAAATGAATACTCTAAATTGTAAAATAGAAAATTTAAGTAAAATTATATTTATATATGTATATATAGAGAGAGAGAATTTGGTGGAGTCTAATAGTGTCCAATCTGCATTTGAATTAATCTTTTTCAGTCATGTTCCTTGAGTACAATACATTAATGTCCAAAACAGAAGACCAAAAAGAGGAAGTTGAACAATCTTTTCTAAAAATAATATAACAGATTCCTCAAATTATTCCAGGAACATTCTCAATGTTCTTTCATCTCCCTACCTCCACACCAAATTAACATACAAAGAGATGGCAGATAAACTATACAAAAATAAAACAGAGTCAAAATCAAAACATGCCTTTCAATTAAATATGTAATTTGTGTGGTCTTTAGAAGTCAGTGGTTACCATGGCAATCCATATCCTTTAAAAGCACTCAGCACTGCAAATCTCCTCCTTCATACAGTAATGTTGTGGAAGGAAACCGAGGCTTTATAAGTCTACACTGCTTTGGAAATGCCAATTTTTATAGTAGTGAAAGAAAATGCAAAAGATAAACACTGTTATTTCACAAAGCAGCTATAATTTCATTGAATATGGAAAAGAAAAGGAACAGATTCTGTTTTTCTGCAGATTTCATTTGTAGGCAAAGCATGTCTCCATCATCACCAATGAGGTGACAATAGGTATTAAATAGAAATATGAGGTCCCTGGAGATAGGTAAATGTTGTCCCCATCTTCAAAAGGGGGGGGGGGACCCAGATAACTACTGAATGGATACCAGGAAAGCTCTTAGACAAAGGCTTTAGATTACAGTCCTGTACCCACTTACCTGTGAGTAAGCTCCATTGAACTCATTGTGCCTTACGTCTCAGTAGACATGTGTGCTATTACATCTCTGTCATTGAAAAAAAATGAGAACTAAATGTACTAGAGTTTAGCAACAATCTGCTCTAAGTTTTTTAGTTATATATTTCTGGTTGCTACACATAATTCACCTCCTGAGCCTTCAGGGGGGAAGCTGGCAGAAAATGCAAATAAACAGATAAATTCATCACATGGCCCCTTTGCATTCAGGAAAGATTCACAGGAACACTTTATGAAAAATGCAATGGAAGAAACAGGTTTCTGATACATAAACATGTTGTTGTTATTTAGTCGTGTCCGACACTTCGTGACCCCATGGACCAGAGCACGCCAGGCACTCCTGTCTTCCACTGCCTCCCGCAGTTTGGTCAGACTCATGTTTGTGGCTTTGAGAACACTGTCCAACCATCTCATCCTGTGTCGTCCCCTTCTCCTTGTGCCCTCCATCTTTCCCAACATCAGGGTGTTTTCCAGGGAGTCTTCTCTTCTCATGAGGTGGCCAAAGTATTGGAGCCTCAGCTTCAGGATCTGTCCTTCCAGTGACCACTCAGGGCTGATTTCCTTAAGAATGGATGCGTTTGATCTTCTTGCAGTCCATGGGACTCTCAAGAGTCTCCTCCAGCACCATAATTCAAAAGCATCAATTCTTTGGCGATCAGCCTTCTTTATGGTCCAGCTCTCACTTCCATACATCACTACTGGGAAAACCATGGCTTTAACTACACGGACCTTTGTTGGCAAGGTGATGTCTCTGCTTTTTAAGATGCTGTCTAGGTTTGCCATCGCCTTTCTCCCAAGGAGCAGGCGTCTTTTAGAACTTCCAGGGTGGCGCCATCGGTAATGGCGGACTCCCTCTGATCCGGAGAGACTGGCTCCACGGAAAACGGGTCTGTTCCGCTACGGCAAAGTGGGGACCCTTCAAAAAATCACAGGCGGAGGAAGCCTGTGACCATGGGACTCGGCGGGCACCTTTTGCGCGCCCCCCCAATCCGTAAAGGAACCCAACTAAGGGCTCCGGAGCGAAGAGGGGTTAGTGGCGCGGTGCTGAGAGTCAACTGCTTCTTCCGTGGAGCGAAGCCGCACAGCCGTTGCCGGAGAGCGCTACCTTTTTCCTGGGACAATTCGGTTACAAAAACAACTACCCGTGAGCAGATCAAATTTGGACAATTGGACTTTAAACAACGATCTGTGAGTAGAAGGGAAAATTGGATTAGAAATTCTTCTTAATTTGGCACTGAAGCGGGAAGGTCTAAACAGGAAGTCAGCCTTCCGTTTCTTGTAGATAGATTAAAGCAAAGACATGGCAAACTAGAGTTCAGAAAATCGTTTGTAAAGGATCAACTTTCATCATCTAAAACTACTGAACCCCCTTCAGAAGCAGGAGAAGAGGGGGGATTTTTTCCGGATGGTTTAAACTTGCAGGAGAGAGTGTAAAGAAAAGTAATTTTCCACCGTCTTGAACCTGGGAGCGGGATGTCAGGACAGACGTTTTTAGGAAGTTCATTGACTATAGACAAATGTTTTTGACAGATAGTTAAAAGAAGAGAAACATAGTGATTCCATTGTTCTCTTTCGCATTTTAAAGGAACAAATACTGACAAAATATCTGAAAAAGGAAACTTTGTTGTTAGATCTGCTGTTAAAAAAGAAAAAGAAAAGAGATTGATACAAATAGAAGTTCTTCCCCTAGGGGAGCTTGTGAAACTGTTATTAAACTTGAACTGGGGAGCTTCGCAGCTGCAAACAGATTAAGATCGTGGGAACAGACTTCTGACCTTGCATAACAATGTATTCAGAGGCTCTGGTGCGTGCTTTCTGTAAGACAAGTGCTTTATTTGAACAGTTACATGAGAAGACGGATTTGATGACTGTTGCGATCAGAAATTTTGGACAGGTAGTGGGTACCTATATAGAACCCACCCAGGAATCAACTCAGGAGTGTGCTCTGACAGATCAGATGAGGGAGGAGATCGTTGTTGGACCTCGGGTGGCAGAGATGGAGGGAGCTGTGGCCCAGCAGGAACATGAGTTGTTGGATTTGACAAATGAACTTGGAAAAAGCCAGATTTGGAGAGATAGAGTTTTGTTGGGCTTGGAGATGGGGGGCTGGATAGACCCCCCTATGCAGGGATGTCTTGACTTTCCAAGTCTGGCAATGGGCCGTGAGGAGTTTGGGGTTGTGGGGGTCCTCAACTTTGGAGGGACTTTGAAACATGCTTTTAAATACCACACAGAGTTCAGTGTGGATTATGGAAAAGGGGCTGATCTGTCGAGAAGGGACAAAAATACTGTCAAGTTGGAGTTTCCACGAGTGAAAGGACCAGGAGACAAAGTAAAGTACAGGTATAAATATGAAGAAGATCTGCGGAAGGGACATGGAAGAGACTTAAGGGCCTCGGACATAAGATTACCAGGTTAATGAGCTAAATGGATGAGACAGAAAGGACTGACAAAACCCGGGACCAGGAGGAAGAGACGTTGGAGGAAGATTGGAAGAAAGTTTTTAAAAAAATTTCTATTTAGGATTGTTTTGTAAAATTAATGAGTATTAGAAAAATGTTGGAACGAAACTATTTGGCTTTAGCAGAAATGTTAAAAAGAACTATGCAAGAATATGTTATGGTTATGAGAAATTGGTATAAATAAGTTTTAAGTTTTAAGTTTTAGGGTTAAGTTTTAAGTTTTTAAAGTTTAAGTTTTAGGGTTAAGTTTTAAGTTTTTAAGCTTAAAATAGATTAAGGTAATTTAATGACAGAATATTATGAAAAATGGGAAGGATTTGCTGTTATAATTAATAACTGGAATACAAAAAAGGGAGGTTTGAGGAGGTCGATGAAATAAGGCAATGACAGTTAAGGATTTGGGAATATTGGATCTGTTTTTAATTGTTTGTGGTTTACTTTTGTTTTTTGGATTTTGATGTGTATTCATAAGGGATTTGACTTAGGTTGTATCTTACTGGCCCAGTGGTTTTTCCTACTTTACATACATAAACATAGGATACCATAAAGTGACATTTATGCTCATTAACCTCAGTGGAAATTCTTAAATCTACAAGCGGGAGTGCCAATATGATCAGACAGGAGATAATATTCAAATACAGCATTCTACATTACCAGTGCCAGGCAATGCTGTAATTACATTCTTACCCATTTTTAGAAAATCCCATCTAAATTTCTCTTTCTCACTGATGCATACTTTTCCTTGAGGAGGTGCAGGGGGGAACTGAGTAACAATATGTTTGACCCAGTGTAGAACCTCTTGTTAGGATATTGAATTTGGACATTCATCTTGAGGTAGCCTACTCACCTCCATCTTTAAGCATTTACCCAGGTTCACCCACCAAATGAATACAGTTTCAGACAAACATCTGGGACATAGATGAATACCTGCTCTAAACAAAGAAATAGGTCTGCCAGGATGGTGAAGACATGGCAAGGCTGAAAAGACCTATTCCTACTTTATCTGGGAGTTGGCCCCATTAAACTTAATGGAATTTACTTCTGAGTAGGCATTACAATGTTGGCGTTTCTCTGCTGTGCAGCCCTGAGTAGCTTACCACCAGGTGTACCAACACACAGATCCAGAAGCCTTCAGTTCCAAGTCTCAGTATATCCAGTAGTTTGCTATGTCGCTGCAGTATGAAATATGGAGCAGGCCATAACAAGGAAGGGAAAGGCCCATCTCCCTCATTCTCCAGTGCCTCCAAGATGGGAACCTGAAGGAATCCATTGCTGGAGTCTCCAATAATACTGTGTGGCTGTGTTTTTGTATCTATGCATGTGTGTGCATACATACACACACACACGGTTATTAATGGATATAATTTGCCATTAAATTTCAGTAAAAATTCCTCATTCTATTTTGTTCTAGTATTCGAATTATAGGATTGGATAGGGTCTTCATAACCTAGAACAGTGGTTCCCAATTGGTGGTCCGTTGACCCCCCCGGGTCCACATAACCAAGGGGTACGTGGCCCCATTTACATAACAAAAACTACCATAGAAATACCTTGGTTCTCGAACTTAATCCGTTCTGGAAGTCCGTTTGACTTCTGAAATGTTCGAAAACCAAGGTGCGGCTTCTGATTGGTGCAGGTGCCCCAGAAAACAATAGCCGACAACCACCCAAAAAACTTTCGAAAGCTGGAACAATTACTTCTGGGTTTTCAGTGTTTGGGAACCAAGGCGTTTGAGTACCAAGGCATTGAGAATCAAGGTACCACTGTACATATAATAAATAAAATATGATAGATTCTAAATCATGTGTGCACTTTACCTTTCAAGCCACAATAAGGAAATTCTGACGAGATCTAATGGTAAATTATAACCAGTAATAACATTATGGGGGGAGGCGCACATGCACGTACACACACACACACACACACACACACGTACAGGAATATTAAGAAACAAAAACAAAGCAACAAAATATCATTGGAGTAGCATGTTGCCAACAATAGATCCCATCTCCACTTCAAGCAGACATTTAGATGGCCAGATGTTAAGGATGTTCCTGTAGCTCTTGACTTCCTCCACTGAGGGGTGTGTGGGCAGGAAATCGGAGCATCCTCAGTATGTGTCTGTCCAGCCTCGAAGACCTCCTCCAGCATGGGGAAAAGCCCACCATCCTGGCTCCATTGTCAAGCAGCTCTTACTTGCAGACTTTTCTTTTAATATCCCACCAATCTCTTCCTCCCTGCCCACTGGCCTGCTGTGGGACGGACAGATCGCTCATGGAAGACATCTAAGCTGATCACATGCTTTTGAAATTGGGCAGGCATAATGAGATACAAGGAGGCGTGCTGCCTTTGTGTTCTGCTTCTGGTCCTCCTTGAAACATCTGGCTGAATCCAGGTGACATTAAAAGGTACAAAATCATGTATATTATATATTTATGCAAAAATATATATTGGGATTTCATTTTCACCCTCTGCATGTTGCACCAGTGAGGCTGAGTTATTGGTTACTGGGGCCAGATGTCAGACAACAATGTTCAAGGCCATGTTAGGGAGGAATATGTGTATGTTGTCTGGGAGGAAGCAAGATCTGCTTTTCTCAGGCAAAGTGTTCCTCAAGAGGTATCAGAAGGAAATGTTTGAAAATTGATGAACGACTATTATAGATTAAAGAGGATTTACTCCACTCAACTATTTTGAGGACAGGTTATAACAATGTATAAAAGCCATAGCAGAAATTGGTAATTGAACAGGTGATGTGTAGGGAGAAGGGAAGAACGTATTTCGAAATGATAGTTGGAAAAGTTATTTTATTGGGAGCAGCAAAGAGGGGACATCTGTGGGTGGGTGGGAAGTCAGCTTTTAAATTTGTATTGAATTTGTATTAATTTGGTGGCAATTTGTTAAAAATTATGGGAAATCAATTAAAAAATTGGCAAAATCAGCACAGAGGCCACAGAAGAAATGGAAAAGTGTTTTAATTGATGCTTCTTCAGAGTCTAGGGCAATTGCTGTGATTAGCACTAACAGGACATTTTAAGATAGAAACAATATGATGTCACACCCACACACCCAGGAGTAGTTTGACCTGCCAGGATAGCAATTGCTCCATGGATTTGTCATTTAGCAGGAAATAATATTAACTGTGTAATGAACCCAGGGTTTGTGCCCATACACTGCATCATGCGCAGGGACCTAGTCCTGCTTCTCTTGTCTCCTGCTAAACAGGGAACACAGGCCTGGTTCACATGACATGGTCAACCAAATGGTGGCTTATGGAGACCATACAATTGTCCAGGCTTCCAGAGATGGACTTGCAGGTGCTCTGCCCCAATTCTTCTTGCTGAGCTTAGCTGAAGTTTGGCTTAGCATGCTATCCTAAGCAGGACTCCCAGTTAAGTTCTCCCTTCTAACCAGGAGCATAAAGGTAAAGGGACCTCTGACTGTTAGGTCCATTTGTAACAGACTCTGGGGTTACGGTGCTCATCTCGCTTTATTGGCCGAGGGAACGAGCGTACAGCTTCTGGGTCATGTGGCCAGCATGACTAAGTCGCTTCTGGTGAACCAGAGCAGCACACGGAAACGCCGTTTACCTTCCTGCCGGAGCGGTACCTATTTATCTACTTGCACTTTGATGTGCTTTCGAACTGCTAGGTTGGCAGGAGCAGGGACCAAGCAACGGGAGCTCAACCTGCCGCGGGAATTCGAACCACCGACCTTCTGATCGGCAAGTCCTAAGAAGGCAGGCAGGCAGGTAGACTTGGAGGAATCTGAGGTTGGTGGGGCAGTACCACATTTTCCCTAATGGACCAGCCTCCACTGGTTCTTGCTGTTCCTAGTTTAAATTTGCCTGTTCCTAACCATTCCCACTTAACCATTCCCTCTTGCTACTTCTTTCTCAGGTCCCGATGTCTCCTTTTCATAGAATTATAGGACTGTAGAGTTGCAAGGGACCCGAGGATTATCTAGTCTGACTCTTTGCAATGCAGGAATTTCAACTAAAGCATCCATGACAGATGGAAATCCAACCTCCAAGGAAGGAGAGCCCTATCCTTTCAATTCACTGGGAAAGGGTGTGCGTGTGTTCCTAACTCCTCTACACTCTGTATATAGCCTAATGCACTGACGACACTAAATAAAGACAGCAAACTTTAAAAGCCTCAGTTCTGAAATCGCATGTTCTTCTATCACAACACAAAACAATGTGAAGAGCCACAAAGGTACATCACTTATACAAGAGGCAGATATGTTTTGATGGATCAAGACAGAAGTCAGTGAAACTCAATTTTGAAAAGGCATATTAACTACGCAAATAGACAACCTAGAGACTATCCCACCAATGTGACAGCAATATATGCAGTTCATCATCCATAACATATTATCAGAGCAGAAAAACTCAGAGGGAAGTGAAACATAAAATGATGGGAAATAATAAAATGTAAACTTCCCCAATTTTGAGATGTTTTGTCTAACAAATTTCCGGATTGTTTCAGCAAAACTGCAGTTCTGGAGAGGAGGCAACCACAGCACACATTTCCAAATACTTCAGAAACACATACACCTACTAGCATACTTTAACCGTGCTATGCTAAATTTTTTTTCAGGTTCAGTATTTCCTATTTTGCCATCTTAGCTTGCCAGCATTGCCAAACCCAATTCAGCTATTGCTTTGTTACCTTTTTTTAAAAAAGCACTCTGAGACCAGTGAAGTCACTATATGGCCATTCAGACATAACAACATCACCAATGGCAAACAAAAGTATTCAAACCGAGTTTGCCTTCAATGATATCACCATGCAATCAGATCCGGTTGTTTGCATTATTGCAACTCCACTGTCTGCAAGAAGCAGAAAGTCAGTGAGAGGAAAATGGCACAACAGCAGCAACTGGCCTGGACTGCTACATATGTTGAAAGGTGTTAGGGAAGGGAGCAGTGAAGGGCTATGGATGGCCACGGAGTGAGGGAACGTAATGAAGTCAGGGAATGACATGTGGCTGCAGCGCAAACATTTTCACCTCCTTTTGCATGCACTGACACACACAAAACACACACACACATAAGTGAATATGCCACAGGGAGTAAAAAGGTTAATGAAATACATCCTCCTTTTCCAGCTCACCACTGATTTCATACTTGGTCTTATTTATGCCAACTAAATTCCTACAGTTTTAATTCCATATTGTTTCGGAATACATTTTTCTTTTCTTCTTGCAGCAAGGGAAACTGAGAGTGAAGAAGAAAGCATGGATATTCTATTAGCTGGAAAAGATGCTTGGGGAAATCAGATCTCATAAATGGCAAAGCAAAGTAGCTCCATTCCAGAATAGTTTTAAATCCAGAGTTTTAAGAAAATAACTACATGAAGTGCTACACTTTTCAATTCAAGACCTGCTTGCTTGCAAGGACAAAGAGAACAATTTTAACAAAAAGAGGGCTGTGTGGGTTTTTTCCAGTAGAAGACGCTTCATCTCTTTAAGACTGAAACTGCATGTAAAATGTAGTGGTGTGTATTTTATCCCCCCAATTTTTTTTCCTTCCTAAAACCAAAAGCAAAGGTTGCCAAGATCACTCAAAACTGCACCCACAGTTGCTTTTCACTTCACAGAGGAAAAGATACAGGCACGCTTGGGCTTAAAAAAAAAAAGTTGGGAAAAGAGATACACACGAGTTTCAGTCTTAGAAGTCATACATTTGGGGATTATATGCTGTGAGGAAAGGAATGTTTCCACGTCCTGAAATTTGAGAGTGCAATGTTTCTGCACAGTCCATTGCAGTGCGAGGTGACGAATTGTCTGAAATAATGCAGTTTACAGGATCCATGTGCATGCAAGTCCTCCAAAAAAGAACACAACAAAAACCTCTGGGAATGATGCAGACCCAAAGAAAAGAGACCATAAAGGAGAAGAGCGAAGCAAATGGATGAACTCTTCACTCCCATGCCTGACTCCAGTCCATCTCATTACCCAAAGATTATATCCACTGCCTTTTATGTTCAGTCATCTTAGTAGATTCTTACATATGACTAGTTTTAAATCTGCAACTTCAAAGCCACTGAAATTTAAGTACAGTGGAAAGTGTGGTCTACTATCACCAAGCACTGGCCCTTCCCTCCTCTTGCTGCTTTAAAAGAAACTGCACCAGTCCCCGGACTGGAGGCAAAGGTCAACATTTCACTGTTCTACAGCCATCATCAGTTCTTCTTCTGTCTCTTGCTTCTCTATACGAGCCTCAAGCGGAATCAAATACTGCACTTCCTCGGTGCTGACGGCCACTTTCTCAGGCTGTAGCCAACGCTTCAAGTGTTCCAGAGTGCTGAGAGAAAGGAGAAAGGGCAGGGAACAGTAAAGAAAGAAGGCAAAAGAGCAGGACCAGCCCCCACCCCATCCCCACTAATCATTTCAACTATTTTCTACCTAAATGTAATGGAAGGAACTTTTGACTGTCAGATTAGAGAGGCCCAAATTCAAATTCCACTCAGCCCTCAAGTTGGGTGACCCTGGGCCATTCACTCTCTCAGTCCAAGCTACCCCACATCTTAGAAAAGGTTCAGGTTTGGGCTAAACTCCAACGGTTTAGGGAATCCTGTGACAAGCAGCTATTGAGGAGCACCTATCAGTTCAGCACAGGTCCTCTCCAGAGAGGCCACACTGCAGATAGGCGAGTCCCTTGTTCCCCTATGAAGAAACACACAGAAAACTAGCACAGAGAGAAATGGCTCAGCTAGAACAGTTCTCCAATGGACTAGTTTTCTACAAGAAATGAGTTTTCGACCTAGAGCAGAAACAGAAGAATACACAGATAATAGGAATTGGGGGGAAGTCTTCTCTAGGGTCAGACAAACAGGGCAATCCAAACCCAGACCAGGCAGTAACAGGGCGTGGTAAGAGTGGTAGAGACACCACTAGATCTGCAGCCCTGTCACTCACATCAGTTGGGGCAGGAGCCAGTGCGGGGGGCAGGCAAATTGCTGCACCAGGCCATTGGCCAACAAGGGATGGCAACGGGGCTGGCTCAGGATCCAGTGGATCTTGGTTCAGATCAGGCCATCTTCTGGGGTGCCCCATTTGGGGGCTTTGGGGGCTACTGCAGGCAGTAAATGCACCACACCTGCACATTTGGTGAGTGGAATGGAGTTCCAGGCTAGCAGAGTGATGCTGGTATCACTTTATGGGGGAGGTCTAGGGGGGTGTTGAGCAGAGGGATGACTCTGCCTAATCCAGCCCTGCTTCCCCACAGCACAAAGGGGTTTTTCCACTCTGCGCATGATGCAGTCTGCACACGATCAGAAAAACACCCTAGTGTGTTTTGACCTGAGCCCTGGCACTGAAAACAGGGCTGAGGGCAAACTGTGGCTTGAATTAAGAACAGCCCTTACTCCATAAGTGGTGGGCACTTCGATAAGATGCACACTTCAAAAGCCGCTGCATGAATAAAAGCCTCATTGAATTACCTCTCGTCCGATTCAGTTCCCTCCGTGTAAAATTCAGACTCAGACTTCTCCTGCAGAAACCTGTCCCAGCATTCTTTCTTCGCCTGAGCAAGAGTATGCAGCATGTCTTTGGAGGTCACCTCCTGTGACAAACCCTTTATCCTCATCAATCTTCTCTCTAGAGGCGGGGAGGGGAAATCACACAAGTGTGGCCAAGGTATAGTCAGGAATTTTCAATCCAAACCATTTCATGGGTTTTCATATGAATTGTAAACCACCATTTAAGGCGGGGTGACTAACCTGTGGCTGTCCGTTGTTGCTGGACCACCAGCTCCCATCATCCCTGACTATTAGCTGCGTTGTGTGGGACTAATGGGAGTTGGAATCCAACAACATCTGGGGTGGATGAGCACAGGTTGAGCTAGGGCTGGGTGATATATCGTCCAAAACTGGTTTGAAGTCCATATCGTGATATCTAGAGTTGCCATATGTCCAGGAAAACCTGGACATGTCCTCTTTTGGGGGCCAACAGGCCCATCTGGGCAGATTTTTACATTTTAAAGGAAATGTCCAGATTTTTTTTGTTTTTCTGGGCTTCAGCTTGGGCAGCCCAGGCTCGGGCATGAGAGAATGGCTGCATGCCTCATTCTAAGGCTCAGGCTGTTCTCTTTTTTGCTCTTCAAGATATGGCAACCCTATTATCGGTTTCATAATTTTTAACCTGGCAATATATATCGCAAATCATGGTGTGTGTGTGTGCGTGCGCATGTGCTATGCAAAAAGCACAATGAGGGAAGAAGCCAGCCATTGCCTCTACATACTTCCATCTCTATTTCAGACATCGTGATATATTGGTATATTGCGATGTTCAGCTGGTGACATAGCACAATGTTGAAAACCAGGTATTGCCCAGCCCTAGGTTGGGCACCTCTGATTGAAAGTATCCATTTTACCGCAGCGCTATATTAGATATTTCTCTTCCATGTCCTGACTTTTGCTCATTTTAATTTTGTCAGAGAATCAGTAAAAAAGAACTAGCATGCAATGCCTCACTAAACTACTTTTCCCTCCACTGCCCACTCATGTTCTCATTCCCAAACCCATAATAAAAATGGAAATCAGAAATGGTTCTGCATTAAATCTGTATCTACACTAAAATAAACAATGGAAGTACATTTCATTCTAGGTTAAGGATCACTGCTCACCCATCTGCCTAGAAATATTTGAAAGGAGAGACTCAATTGAAATTATTGTGTGCAGAGCACACAAGCAAGAAGTTTAATGGAAGTCTTCAAGTTCTTGTTCTGGAAATTTAGCTGCAGCAAATTCTTTTCTTCTCCCAGCAGAACACTAGATGGATTATATTCCTCTCTCGCTGCACAAAAGTTATTGGAAAGAACAATCTAATACAGTATACTCTTCAGAGATTTATGCAGGAATAAATTAGACAAAATTGGGCAAAGGTTTTCTCTCATACATTGCCTACTTCTGTAGTGACAATTATCTTGTCATTCCAGTGCTCTTAAAAATAAATTGTAGAACCTTTCTGAAGTCCCGAGAAGATCAAAAAATGTACAGGAGAAACTGAGATCAATGATTTACACAAAACGTAGCTATGGTCACAGATTTTCAGGCCATGTCCACCTATTGTGGAACAGATCCATTGTCTTTAAGAGGCATAGGCAAACTCGGCCCTCCAAATGTTTTGTATGAATTGTACATATGTTGTACAGTTCCCACCAACCCTGACCACTGGTCCTGTTAGCTAGGGATCATGGGAGTTGTAGTCCCAAAACATCTGGAGGGCCAAGTTTGCCTATGCCTGGGTCTTTAACATATAATTTTGGACTGAATGGATTTTTAGTCTAAAAGCCTTGATTTTCAGCTGATCAAAACACTAATACTTGCTGTTTGAGATTAAATGCATACAGATGAACAATTCCCACCCACCCCCGCCATGTTACAGTAATAATAATTACAATTAATAATTACTACCCTCAAAGGTTAGGTATTGACTGCAACAAATTCTCCAACTCAGCAGCTCCCAATATACTGACCTAAAGCTGCCAAATAGGCATCTGAATCCTTCAGTGGTGCCCAGGGCTTCATGCTTTCTTGGAAAGTGGTGTTCATGACTTCGTTCTGACTTTCCACATGAACGTGAGCATCTGTGAACGAATCTGCAAATGCATTGCTTGACTCATCATTCTTGTCCGGATGTGGCAGGGATGAACAGATTTCAGCCCAGAGGTCCTGGCTGGAAATCGTGACTATGGAGTCAATACTTTCAATCATTATCATGATGGAGAAATCCTGGGGGGGGGGGGAATATGAAGTTTATGAACTGCGCAATACAATGTATACATCTATGTATTTCCTCCCTCTTCTATCCTATAAAGATGAGAAGACATGGGATTTTCAGTTCTCATTTAAAACAACTAACAAAAACAAAAACCAGAAGTCAAACTGCTCAAAGACTACTGAGTGCTTGTAAAATCCAGGCACCTAAACATTTTGGCCTAACCAGTGGCACCCTCTACAGAGGTCAGCTTCATCTCACTAGCTCCTAGAATGCCCAGCTAGTGCCTAATTTTTTGCAGATTTTACGCATTCCTGTTTCCATGCAAAGGATTAGGCTGTACAGTTAAGGCATCATGCTTATGTTTTAAATCTCACGCTTAAAGTTACAGCTTGAAGTACTTTTCTGAATTTGCAATCCCATACCCACTTACTTGGGAGTTAGGCTCAAGAAAGTCACTGATACATAGCTATGAGTAGACATGTGTAGGATTGCACTATAAGTGAACTTGCCTTGGTTTAGTAAAATTACTGATGCTACGCCGCAATGTCCTGCACAGAGGCTGTCCCTGTTCACCTTCCCTTTTAAAATCTCTAAAACTTTTAAAAATCTAAAACAAGACCTATGTCCCAGGTAATAGCCTCTTCAGGTCCAATCTTCATCAGTTCCAAATATACCATGTCTAGGGAAAATGTTACGCATTTGGAGGGTGGATCTGAGCAGACATAGCGGATGTGTCACAGACCGAAACAAAATAAACTGTGGGATGGTTTAAAATATGTATTAATGAACTGCTGTGGTTGCTTAAATTGTTGAGATATAATGAATATTCTAATGCACTGCAGGGGGTTGGCTAGATTGGGGTCCCTTCCAACTCAACAGTTCTTATGATTCTAATTCTCTCAGTTAAGGCTGTAAGTTAAGTGATTGGGAAATAACTTAGAATCTTTCACCTGAATCTCAAAAGCACCAGTCTTGCACACAGTGTTGGAAATGTCTTAAGAGGCATATAAATGGTTTAAATAAATAAAAGCATTTAGAGACTTGGGGTGGGTTTGGGTATCAGTTGAGAAGCATCAGTTTGTAGGGGAGGGAGGGGTGTTGAAAGGCATAACAAGTAAAAAACAAGATTAAAGCTGGGGTATAGGGAAAAAATGGGGTTATGCTAAAGAACACTTAATGTAACAGCCTAGATGGTTGTCAAGCCAGGATATTAAACCAACTTCATACGATGAAGGAACAAAGGAAGGAATGGAAGAGCTGAGTGGAAGGGCATAAGGCTTGTTCATATATTGGTTAACAAGCCAAGATACAATCATTCAAACTCTCCCAACATTTAGACAGAGGAATAGTTTGGACAGAGAAAAGTACATGTATTTCACCATGTATTTTTATGCGTTTGAATCCCACGGTTCATGTTGCTGTGATAAATTTTAATAGTGATTTGTATTTTAATATTGTGTAGTAGGGGTTGTGAAGAAAACCAGCTTGCTAACCTTTATTGTCTTATAGATACCTACCAACAAGATGACAGGAAGCTGTTTGTTCTTTAATGTAGGAAGTTACAGCAATAGTGATGGTGGCGAATGCACAGGATTGGGGTGGGGGTGTCAGTGAAGTGTCCTACCTTAGCAAGGTGGGAAGTCACTGAGAAAATTGCCAGTGTCTGTTTCACCATACAGAAACATAAAACTGGCACGGGCATGTAAAAAATACCCAGGACAATTCTATCATTAGAGCCCATGACTGCTAGAAAAAGGACTACAACAGGGGAGCATAAAAACTCTGACCGTTCTAAATTAATAACATGGTTTAAATGTCTGGCCAACCAACCAATCACAAGGTTCAGGGCCAGTTCACATAAGCATGTATAGGAAATAGGGGGTATTCCATAGGCAGGCCATCAGATTTGGCAAACCAATCCATCCTACGTACCAATAGAGAAATCACTCTCCAAGTATGAATATTTAGGTAGGCAAAAGAAGGAAGGTATCAGCAGGCTTGGAGGAAACTTCAAGGTGTGCAGCCATACAAAAAATATTTAGGGGAAAAAATCTAAAGGGTGGGAATAACAGAAGAGGCTTTATTCAGCATTGTTATGTACTGAGTTGAATAGGATCCAAAATGCAGCAGTCTGATTGGTCCACAGGAGCCACTCAATCCAGCTGCAGGTGGAAGTGAATCCGCAACCTGATTGGCCTACAGGAGAATCCTTGAATTAGCCAATCATGCGGGGCCCATTGTGTAAATAATGTATATAAAGCAGACATTCTGGGGGAACTTCCATTCCTCCTCAACACAATGAGCTGAATAAAGAGCATGAAATCCACTCTCGACTCAGAGTATATTTCAAGCACAGACCTCAGCAAGTGTAATTGCCACATTCTGGGCAGAGTTAGCAGAAGTGATAAGTCTACACATATGCAGAAGGGGCAAACTAGGTATGTGCAAAGCAGAAATGTCTTTAAGTCGCTGCTTGTACTTCTTACAACAAGGAACCCAAAGAAAGCCCAACAAAGACTGATCATGCTCAGTAGGCACACTTAATACCATAGGAGTGGGAAGGACAAACAAATAGAAAACTAGCAGAATGGATTATCCTGAAAGGGGGGGTGGGGTGGCAAGCACCCTGATCAGTATTCCACACACTGCTGCAGTGTTAAGAGTTTTGCTCTTGTATCGCAGCGTGTACCGGGAAACCAGAATTAAACGCAGAACAGGACATCTGCTACCGGTATTTCTAAAGGACGATCGAGCCTGTCTACGTGTGGTGTATCCTTTGTGTGTGTGAATGTTTTCATGACCCGCGTTTCGCACGTACATCTTACAGCTACCGTCAAAACAGTCAATTGTTAAGCGACCGGCTCTTTCCAATGGTGTGAAGCAGCAGGTTGGGAGTAAGGCCTCAGGGGGGCTGGGGGGGCGGAGAAAAGCTACAGCAGCCACCTCCCCTGGTCGCTGTGACCAGGCCAGGCTTCTGCCACTGGATTTCGGGCACACGACCCTCCAAGTCCACTGACCTGGGATCCCGCTGCGCACGAGATAAAAGCAATAGGGCACCAGGGACAATAAGGCAAGGGGATAAAATCGTATTTCCCCCACCACCAAGAAAAAGTGGGCGCTTTTGCAATCATAAACTGGACACACCTCCTGACTCTGAATTGATTCTAGAATGAACTGATTTTAGAACGTACAGTATTTCAATTAAATGGTTATGATTTTATGTAAACGGTGTTATTTTTTACTGTTGTTAGCCGCTCTGAGCCCGGCTTAGGCTGGGGAGGGCGGGATAAAAATAAAATTTTATTATTATTTATTATGTGTGTTTGTGGCGGCGATGACATTCGGAGCAATCCTGAGAGTAGCTCTTGGCGTTAAGGTCAGGAGAGCAAACGCGCCTGGCGGGAGAGGCCTCTCATGGTGGCTTTTCCAGGTGGTCCCCTGCCTCCCCCGGGGCCTATGGGCTCCCATGCACCCGCACCCCCCCCCGCCGGCGTCCCCTCCTGCGCCCCTCCTGTTCGCCTACCTGGAGCGGCTGAGGCTGCTCGGCCCCCTCCGTCGCTTTCAGAGTCCACAAAGGGCAGAAGTCTCGGGAGCCAGGAAGGGCGGGGCGGGGAGCAAGGAACCGACTGTTGTCCCAAACTGGCCAATCAGTGAACAGAGCACAGCTTTCCCGCTCCCATAGGCTGCGGAGGGATACCAATCACCACCGAAGCTTGGCAGGTAGCAAAGGAGAAGGCTGAATGGTTCGCAAACAAGACTTCCGGTTCCCCTTGACAAACTTAGGAGGTGCGGGGTAAGAACGGTGGAGAAATCAAGAAGAAATAACCTCTGGAGGCAGGGCGCGGCGGGCGTGATTATTTCAGAGCAGAGAAACCAGAAAGTCCTGTCAGCTTTATCGCTACGTCATTGGCAATTTTGCACGGACATGTGCCCCACCCCTCAGGCCCCTGAGCATGGAAGTGCCTAAGCAGAACCGGAAGTGAGGATATCTTCATTTTATACGATCTCTTTAGGAACCGTCCCGCGCGACATCTTAAAGCCGGGCGGAAGTTACTGATCGGCGGCTTCTCTCTCCCGCATACGCAACAGCGTAAACAACAGCAGGCCTCAATTCCCCCAGTTACTCTCAAATGCCGTAATAAGCAGCTGCTGAAAGAGGAGGAGCTAGGAGGGCGAGAATGCGAGTGCGGAGGACTTAGTGCGGCTGCGCAGGTGAGTCCGCCTTTTTGTGGGAGGGGTGGGATCCTGGGGACGGGGTCCTGGGTCTTGGTTCTCTCTGGGAAGCGGGAGGGCTGCTCGAGACTGAGCTCTGCCTTTTGGGGGACAGCAGTCTGCTCTCTCTTCTCCTGGCGCTTGGGAGGGAGGCGTCAGAGGGGATCCTCAGAAAACCCTCAGAAGAGGAGTCGGAGCCCAGCCCAGCCCAGCCCACCTCCTCTTACCACTAAGGAGCCTTGCATATAGGCTCTTCCCTTCCCCCACCTTCCCCATCATAAGACACCAAGAGGGGAGGGGGTTGACTCTTGAGTTGAAGTGCCTCTTTCTATGCTCATCTTTTAGTGGGGCGGACCTTTCCTTTTATTACGATTTATCAAATTCGTATACTGCCCTTCATCCAATGCCTTGCTTTTGCTTTGAGACACATGCTTTGAGGAACAAATATGTATGTTTGTCGATGGTAACAACACTGGTACCATTAAAGGCTAGCCCATTTATTATGGCATTGGGTTTTGTGGGCAGTAGTCCATTTCCCTCATATACATGAAGTGTTGTCCTAAGTTGCAGGTAGATATTTATGTGGGTGGAAATTGCAATCTGTGGTCAGAAGGAAATGCAATGCAAAAAACAAAAAACGCCAAGTGAGATAATTGTTATTTATGTTATTTGTGTGACCGCTCACAAGTAAGTTAGCAACCCATACAAATGGGTTGGTAATGCATGTAATATTTTATACATGTAGTATTTTAAAAATCCATTTTCCCATTCGTTCTACAAGTTGGTGTACTGTAAGTCAGTGATATAGCTTTGCAGACAATTACAGTCACAGCCCAGTCTCTACAAAAAAGAATAGATGAGCACTATTGCAAATTATTTCACTTGTTAGCTTAACCTGCCCACTCCCCTTTACTGGCCCTCCCTGCCCACACCTACAGCCTTGGCCGTGTGAGGCGGCTGCCTTGGACAACACATCTTGAGTCCCATTAATAGGCAGCAAAGTGTCTGTTGTTCTATTTTATAATTTTATTTTATAATGTTACAATTATTATTGTAGTCTTGCTGCCAGGAAGGAGGTGTTTGTAGGGTTTTCTGCCTCACGTGCCAAAATAGCTTTGATTGCCATTGGCTGCAATACACCCTGATTGTAGTGAGGAGTACATGCTGTGCACTGCTATGTGCCGCTTGGCCACAGACAGTAAAATATCTTGGCCAACTCCTTACGTTTATCAATGTCCTTAGTTTGTATTTATTTTTGTCACTGTGATAACAAAATTTATTTATTTGTTAATACATTTGCCTTCCACCTTTCTTTCCAAGGAGCTCAAGGTGGTGTAGACCCTTTATCTACATACTCAGTGAGTTTCATAACACAGTGGGGATTTTAACCTGACTTTCCCAGAACCTAGTCCAATGCTCTAATATCTCTCTTCTAACTTCTTGGACTGGTGTTTTGTTTTTTTTTAAACTTATTAGCAGTACTTTTATTGACATCAAACAGTTAGTATTTGACTTAGACGGCAAATGTGTTCTCCAGATTTCCCTGTATTGCATCTGTGCATCTGTTCCTAATCTAGGCGGCTCCTGCGTGTGGAGGATTTGGTTTCTATGAGGCGTTACATGATCTTGCTCTAAATATAAAAAAACTTTCTCTCTTTGGTTCATTGTGACTGGCTGGTCAGGCTTGGGAATCCCCTGCACATTTTTATGGGATGAGCTGTACGCTGCCTTTTGCTACCTTGCTCATGGGACTCCTGCTGACAAGAACCATGGCCTGGACCTCGACTGGAAAGACACATGCGGAACTGATCAACAATCTTTACAGTAAGTACAATACAGAGCAAACAGAACCAAGGACCAGCAGCAGCCTGACGTTCAGGGCTCACCTCTAAAACAGCTGATGAAATGTTTGGATACTGTCCAAAATCCTCACTTATTTTTAGCATTGTTGACTTGACACCTATTTCATGGAGTGGATGTCAGTGTGAAAACCTGTTTTAAAATTCTACATGCATATGAGTTTTAAGATTCTGGGCTCGTGTCTGTCTGCTCCGCCTATGTATTCAGCTATACAAGCAGCCACAAATGATGCAATAGAGAAATCCATCCTAAGCATCTAATTTAAGAAAGGTTATTCAGAGCATGCAGAGGCTCAGCTCCCCTACAGCTGAGGCAGGTAGCCATTTCTTCTAATGAGTTTCTTTGGGAATGCAATAATCCATAATTGTTATCATCCTCAGGCTGCCTGTCTTAGATGGGAGCTTACTCAGACAGTACAGAAACCAGGAGAGTCAATCTGCCAGTGGCTATGATGGCCATAAAAAAGCAAAACAATTAACTGGGAACCTTTCTGTATTTGTCCATCCAACGATTGTTTATTTTTTTTTAAAGAAAATGAGTATATTTTGCAAGTTACAGCCCCGCCATTGCACCTGTTTTTCCTTGGGCTCACCCAGGGCACAGCTGCAATGTTAGGCCAATTGTGTGGATCTTTTCTGTGGAATGGATGATAATGTGTAAATGACATCCTAAGAGAGCACAGCATAATCTGTCCAGTTCTAGAGGTGAAATCTTAAGTCAAGTTCATTTCCCCAGTCACACTTTCCCAAGCTGTTTTATTGAACGTCAAACCCAGCTTAAAGCACTGTCTCTGAGAACAGATCTCTTTGTGTTTGGGTATTTTTCGGTAAAGCCCTCATATGGAACAGGACTGGTCAGGGTTTATTTTTACACAAAGCAATTGCTTTTTCTCTTATTTTACATGAAGTGTAGCCAGAGACCTGAATGTGAGCCTGTTCCCAAATTGTCTAGATGAGCTGATTTCTATTTTGCGGCTCATGGGAACAGAGGGACCAATTATAATCGGGGCCAAGGACGAGCAGAACCTCCCCTGCATCCAAATCCCAGCTTGCTATTGCTGCTTAGGATGGAAGGTAGGGAGGGTGGTCCATTGGTGCTGCGCCAGTTCCTTGGGCCCCTTGGGGAATTTGTGGGCTTTGGGTCTGAAACCTCTGTTGCCTTACTCCTATAATGCCCTAATTGGGGGGGGGGCGTTTCTACTGGCTGCCTCTGCCAGGAGACCCACTGGCAGTAGTGTCCCACCATCTCGGGTGGAGCTTGGGCTTGTTATGTAATGGAGCCACACCGCAAGCAAAGACGTGATGCATCCTAAACTGCCCACCTCTTAACACCAGAGGGTTAGGATTGCAAACCTGTACCAGCTTTTCACAGGCAGTAAGCAGGGTGGTCTGCATATGTGGACTTATTTGCATGAACTGGGGCTGAGCAATGTGGCTGGGTTTCAGCATCAAAGGTTTATTTGCTGAATTTGGAGTCTAGAGCAATAACCCCCTTTCCCTCTCCCTGGTGTGTTGCATGCATGTGTATGGATAGATAGTGGATACAATGAGAGCCTATGTGGTGTGGTGGTTAGAGTGTTGGACTAGGACCTGGGAGTAAAGGTAAAGGGACCCCTGACCATTAGGTCCAGTCATGACCGACTCTGGGTTTGCGGCGCTCATCTCACTTTATTGGCTGAGGGAGCTGGCGTACAACTTCCGGGTCATGTGGCCAGCATGACTAAGCCACTTCTGGCGAACCAGAGCAGTGCATGGAAACGCCGTTTACACCTTCCCGCCGGAGTGGTTCCTATTTATCTACTTGCACCTTGACGTGCTTTTGAACTGCTAGGTTGGCAGGAGCAGGGACTGAACAACGGGAGCTCACCCCGTCACAGGGATTCGAACTGCCGACCTTCTGATCGGCAAGTCCTAGGCTCTGTGGTTTAACCCACAGCGCCACCTGCGTCCCTTGGACCTGGGAGACCAGGGTTCAAATCCCCACTTGGCCATGAAGCTCACTGGGTGACCTTAGGCTAGTCACTGTCTCAGCCTAACCTACCTCACAGGGCTGTTGTGGGGATTAAATGAGGAGGGGGAGACCCATGTATGCCACCTTGAGCTCCTTGGAGGAAAAAGCGGGATAGAAATGCAATAAATAAATAAAAAATTAAAAAACAGTGTAAATTAGTACCTGTCTTTGGATCACAGTGCAGTAAAATTCAGTATTGAACAACCTAAAAGTGATACTAAATATAAATAGTAATAAAAAGTATGCTGCTGTCAGCCTTATTATCCTCTCTCGTGTTTTTCTGTAGAAAATGGTGTGATTAAGTCTCAGCAAGTCCTTAAAGTGTTGTTGGCAACAGACAGATCCCACTATATCAAGTATTTTCCATATATGGACTCTCCTCAGTCAATCGGTAAGAAATGTTGCTGTAGATTGCAATGTCAGTTAAAGGAAATACTGCATATTTTAGAGACCGTATTGTCCATAGCATTGTCTTTTGGGAACTCTCCAAATCCTAGAATCTAAAGTTGGGAGGGATCTCAGAAGTCATCTAGCCCAGCTTCTGCTTAGATATCTCCAGCTCACCACCTCCCAAGGCAGGACTGTTCTACCCTTGAGCCATTAAGAAGCTTTCTTAACCCTTTCCCAGCATCTGCTTCCCTGCCACTTCCACTTGCTGATTCTAGTCCTGTTCTCTGGAGCAAATCCCTGTGAACAAATCTACTCCTTCTACATGACGGCCCTTCAGATATCTGAAGGTGGCTGTCAGGTCTCCACTTAATCTTCTCTAGGCTAAACGTACTCGGCTCTTTCAAGCATTCTTCATAGGGCATGGTTTCCAGATCTCTTAATGGTCTTGGTCACCCTGCTCTGGACACCCCCCTAGTTTCTCAATGTCTTCCTTAAAATGTGGCATCCAGAACAGGACTCTACCTCAGATGCAGCCTGGCCAGTCTAGAAAGCAAGTGAAACCATTATTTCTTCTCATCAGGACACTATGGCTACTGTTCAGGCACTGGCTTTTTAGCAGCTGCATCACACTACTAACTCATTCAGCTTGTGCCAAGCCAGGTCTCCTCCACTCTATCCTTGCACCTTCATTTGTGTGTTTTGCACCTAAATGCAGGACTTCGCCTTTATCTCTGTCAAATTCCATCGTGTTAGTTTCAGCCCAGCGTTCTAGCAGCCCAAGATCATTTGAAGTCTTAATTCTGTAAGACTGAGAGTTGTCCTTTGTTTATGGGCTGCAAAAGTAAGCTCTGAAAACTAGCAAAGTGGACAAAATATTCTACAGATAGTATATCAAACTGAAAGCTGGAAATCCTTAGGTTTTTGAGTTGTGTAGGAAAACCGAAAGGGCGGATTTGTGGTGAGAAACGTACAAATCGCTAGAAAATGCTCCAATTGTTGTAGTTATAACATGAAAAGCAAACTTATCCACAGCTTTCTTTCAGGGTACAAGGCAACCATCAGTGCTCCTCACATGGTAAGACATACTTTTACATCCAATAATATACAGTATATGCATTGATAGCATTCGGTGGTTCAGGAAGCACAAAGGCCATGAACCATCGCAGCTGCCTAATGCCGAGTCAATTCATTGGTTCATCTGGCCGAGCGCTGCTGAGCGCTGCTTTCTCTGGCTAGCGATGGTGCTGGCTTTAGGCAATCTTCTGTGGTCCTGTTGCCTGAGATCCCCTGAATTGGTGACGATGGCAAATTCTTTCTGCTAGGCATTGGCTGAACAATCCTGTGTGCTGCAGATGCGCGTAAACAAACCCACCGGTTTTTGGGTGGTCCCAAACCCCTCAGAGCTTAGGACAGCTGTTCCTTGCTTCGTTCAGGAATACAGGTTGCACTCGCTGCTGGCTGGCTATCAGGTCAGAGATGTCTTGCTCACCATGGGGCAGAAGTAGATATCTTGGCCTACTGCTTGACATCGCCTCCTTTATCCTTTCTCAAGAGACAGCATCTGCCTTCTTCAGTCTCAGGCCCTTCCCCTCCCTTTCCATGACTGCTACTGAGGCTTTGAAGCCACCAAGAGGAGCTGGAAAACTTGCAGGTCCTCTCAGTCTCACCCCACCCCTTGCATATCATCGAAGCTCCTTGGGAGCAGGCAGTCTAGTCGTTTCTTCTCCACACCTTGTGTGTGCCTCTATTGCAAACTTTAACATGCCTCGGAGAAATTCCTCAGCTGAAATATCTGTGGGCGTCAACTTAGCAGAAGCAACCTCTAAATCTTTAGTAAGACTGTGTATCTTAACCATCCTGCTTCTTGTTGCCTTTTGGCAAGGGGATCGTGAAAGATGCCGGTGTGGGAAGAGTGAAATATAGTTGCTTTCTCCCACAGCATGCTCATGCCCTTGAGTTACTGAAGGACCAGCTAGTGGAAGGAGCAAAGGCGTTAGATGTCGGATCAGGAAGTGGATACCTCACAGCTTGCTTTGCAAGGATGGTAAGCAGAATGGAAATTGAGAGGAAATCCTTTTTTTTTCCTGTTTGGCTAAAAACGTCTACTTGTAAAGCTTACCTTCTTAAAGAACAGATGATCTTATGCATATGTTTGGTGTTGCTTCTCTGTAGAGCAGGATTTGACTGCTGAAAATGATTGAATTTGGATAAATTGCAAGGGGTCTGCTAAAGTGAATTTTAGTTTTAACACAATTTTAACAAAAGCAACAAGAAACGCCTCTCTACATATAGAATTCTGAAACTATTCCTCCACTGTCCTGCGAAGTAAATTGCCTAGCACTGGGGGGGGGGGGGGAATAGAATGAGGCTGCAGTCCTATACACAGCTACTTGGGAGTATGTCTCATTAATTCAACATCACTTAGTTCTGAGCAGGCATGCATAGAATTGTACTATAAGATTTTCCTCCATTGGAATTGGCCAATTAGTATATTTAATGATCATGTGGAACGCGGGACAGGTAAAATTGTAGGAATAACTGCAAAGGGACTGTTCATTTTCAAGGTCATTGGAATTATCCTTCTGTCATTCTAAAACTGGATGGAGAAATAATTGGATAAAAATTATCAGGCATTGCAAAAAAGGGAACCTCTCTGCTCTCTCAGATAATTTTGTTTGTAGTAGTAACACAGATTTGAAGCACATGTGGCATCTCTTGACAGGTGGGTCCCACAGGGAAGGCAGTGGGAATCGAACACATTGAACAGCTGGTTCATGAGTCCATCAAAAACCTCAGAGAAGATGATCCCTCTTTGTTGAGTTCTGGCCGAGTGAAACTTCTAGGTGAGCATCGGTATCCTTTGCAAATTTGATGCTTTTGAATTATGGTGCTGGAGGAGACTCTTGAGAGTCCCATGGGCTGCAAGAAGAACAAACCTATCCATTCTGAAGGAAATCAGCCCTGAGTGCTCACTGGAAGGACAGATCGTGAAGCTGAGGCTCCAATACTTTGGCCACCTCATGAGAAGAGAAGACTCCCTGGAAAAGACCCTGATGTTGGGAAAGATGGAGGGCACAAGGAGAAGAGGACAACAGAGGACGAGATGGTTGGATAGTGTTCTCGAAGCTACCAGCATGAGTTTGATCAAACTGCAGGAGGCAGTGGAAGACAGAAGTGCCTGGCGTGCTCTGGTCCATGGGGTCACGAAGAGTTGGAAACGACTAAACAACAACAAAGCTAGAACCCCTTCACACTTGTGAAAACTTTACTTAGCAGGAACGGTTTCAGCCTAGCAATAACCCTAAGATTAGTTTCATGAAAATAAATGAACAAGCTACTGCAGAGGATTGCACATTTAGAGCTAGTTTTCCGAGCCTGCAGTCTTAAGCACACTTACATGGGAATAAGCACTATTGAGCGCAATTCTTACTTCCAAGTAACCACACACAGGATTGCAATGTAGAAGTATATTTTTGTAATGCAGTCTTCCCAGCCTGAAGCCCTCCAGACTACAACTCCCATTGGTCCCGGTCACACGACCATTGGTCAGGGATAACGAGGATTATGGTCTGAAACATCTGGAGAGCAACAGGTTGGGGGAAGCGAGAGTAATGATTTCTGAGCATCTAAAAAGTAATGGTAAAGGACCCCTGGACGGTTAAGTCCAGTCAAAGGCTACTATGGGGTTGCGGTGCAGGAGCCAGTATTTGTCCATAGCTAGCTTTTCCGGGTCGTGGTCAGCATGACTAAACTACTTCTGGCACAATGGGAAACTGTGACGGGTGCCAGAGTGCATGGAAATGCCATTTACCTTCTTGCCTTAGTGGTACCTATTTATCTACTTGCACTGGTGTGCTTTTGAACTGCTAGGTTGGCAGAAGCTGGGACAGAGCAATGGAACCTCACCAACATCACATGGATTCGAACCACCAACCTTCTGATTGGCAAGCCCAAGAGGCTCAGTGGTTTAGACCACAGTGCCACCCACATCTCTTTAGCTCTGCTTTCCCAATTCCACCTAACCTTGGTAATATCAAAGAGCACAGTTCTCTTTTTTAGGTCTCTCACTATGGTTATTATACTTCATTTTGATACCCCCAGTGCCAACATAATCTGCATACAAGTCTTCCTTGCACGCAGATGCCAAGTGAAAGGAAAGGCAAAGGAGAAGTGTATAGGAGAAGCTGCCATCTGAACAAGAACCTTCACTGCACATTCTCTTTCTCTCTCCACAGTTGGGGATGGCAGAAAGGGGTACCCCGAAGAAGCCCCTTACGATGCCATCCATGTTGGAGCAGCTGCACCCACAGTGCCAAAGGAGGTAAGAGAGAAAGTTGCCTGTCTCTTTCCTCTCAGCTCTGGCTTGGAACCTTTTTGAAGCGGTTAATTTACTAAGTCTAGAAGACTGTTGTGAAAAAAGTGTAACAATATGTTTCAGCTGTTATCATAAGGAAAGAGAACTAAAATAGAACAGAGACAATGTTTTACATACTGAAATCTCTGATGGCCTGGAGATTTGACCACGTTTCTATTGACATGAGGTGTAAGAAAAATGGTTCACTCTTGGCATTTCTCAGCACATCACAAAGAGAGTGTTTAGGTATAAAAGTGAGTAGCAGATTTGTTGCCATTTTTAATTTTTATTTTGGAAATGGCTGCTTTTCATGGACTACTTCAAGAGCTAGAGAACAGTGTTCAGTTTGTCTTTCTTCCCTTTTGTGTGTACGTGGAAACTGAATTTCTCCATTTTGTTTCTGTTTTGCCTTACTGCTCTTATTGATTCTTACTACTAGTTGCTGAATGAGCTGAAACCTGGAGGACGACTAATTCTGCCCGTAGGGCCAGAGGGTGGAAACCAGGTTTTGATGCAGTATGACAAAACCAAAGACGGGCAGATTGTGGAAAAGCAGCTGATGGGTGTGATATATGTCCCTCTGACAGACAAAGAGAAACAGTGGCCTCGGTAAATTATTGATAAGAACCTACCCTCTTGTGTTCCAACGCATTGCTGGATAAAAGTTCACTTTCCCCACAGTTACAGCACTACTAAAACGAGAATCCCTATCACAGGGTGTGTTTTATTAGGCAAAGATACTTAAGATGCTGTGAGCAACTTCGTAGTGAAACCATTTTTTAAAAACTGTGCATTCTCTCAAAACAGAGAGTAAATGTCTTGGGAAACATACAGGGAGTGGGAACCTTTGTCCCATGGACCAAATGTGGCCTGGCCTGGGTCCATTTGTCCCTTAAGTCCATTTTTTTCCAGATCACACCCACCGGTCAAACCAAAAAGTTTCCCCACCCCAATACAGAGGTTCTTTTTAAGGCTATGTAACGCTTTGATTCCAGGCACTTTTGCAAGAAAGCCCAATTGAACAAAGCTAAGCTTATTTTTCAGTAAGTGTGTAGGCTTCTCACGGGCATTCAGTTGTGAGAACATGATTCCAGACTAGATGGGCCACTGACCTGATCCAGCAGGCTCTTTTTATGTGGATTTGTTTGTTTATTTATTTATTGTATTTACCACCCACCTTTTTCTTCAAGGAGCTCAAGGTGGTCTTTAATTTAATCTCCATAGCAGTGAGGCAGGTTAGACTGAGTATTTAAAAAATGATATTCAACTGCAGTTGGACATAATGGCTAACTGTGGTTTAATTAAAGCAGGATGTAAATGCTAATGAAGTGGGGAGGACAGGACACTGAACTATGGCAAGCCAAGAGCTGAGTTTCCAAACCAGGTTATTATAGCTATACTGTTATTGGGCAAGAGAAAGCCAGTGTTTCCATTAGCCCTTGTTCACAGGGAAAATATAATACCAAGTAGTGATTGTACTGTGCCTCGTGATACATGGGATAAGGAAAACTCTATTGCCTCTTGTAAACACAGGTGAATAGGTAGAATCTATGTTAAAAAACCAGTCAGAATGTATATTTAAAAGGCCCACAAACATCAAGTTTGAAGGTCAAAACCTTGAAACAGGTCTATAATATTTGGCCCAAGAAGATCCAGCATCTGCTGGGGGCATTTAATACAAATGATGCTATTGACATGATCCTTCCCTGTGTGGATGCTTTGCTTGCATGCAGAGACAACACCCACAAATGGGTATTTATTCCTTCTTCCATATGTAAAAAAATGTTTTTATATCTGAAGTTTAGAAAATCTACATTCATGTCACTTCCCAACATTAAGGTCTTATTTTTCTGAATGAAGAGTAAAACTCCTGAATCAAATGAATTGCAGAGCCATCATTTTCCTGGAGTGATCAAGTCATCATAGATATTTGCTTGTTAACCAAATGGCATTTCCCTTTTTATCTGTGATTTCATTAACTGCTTATATTACGGTCTCTACCACTTAGCTGTATATATTAACTTTGAGAAAGCTCAAGGCAAGGAATACCATTTCACTTTGGGCAATATTTTCATCTCTCCAGCTAAGTGCGAACACTTGATTTTTGCGAAAATATATTCATGTATGTTTATATTAATTGTCAATTGTCTCTCTTTCTTTAGGGGTGAACTTTAAAGATCTTAAATCACCTTTAAAGGATCTTTGGAAAACCTGTGAACTATGTTTGGAAAGAATAGGCATTCTTATGCTGTGCAGATAAATGCATAAGGCTCTGCTTCTTAAATGGACTTCTTTACTACTATTAAAGATAACAACTCTTGTAATGTAAGGGAAGCTAGGACCAGTCCTTCCACCAGGCTAACAGATTCATTTTCTGTTAACTCCAAGAACTCTTGGAATTGGAAGGCAAAGCAGAGTGATAGGTTCAAGACTGATAACTAGCATCAGTCCAGCTGTTTCATAGGATACAAAAAAAATCCTGCATGCAGAAGCAAAAGAAAAAGTTGAGGTGGGTGTTTGTGCACAATATGCCTTTTTATTATGCAAGGAAGCAATGCTTATGTGGCCGTCTGCTGTTGCGAGAATAATTTAATTGGTCTTCTACTTCTGAAAAAGGACATAACTGAAAATAGCCCGCAATTGTAACATCTCAATCTAATAAACTAATGAACTTGGATCTTGCTTTTCTTCTCTTTTTTTACTATTACACTCATAATACAATTTGTCCTGCTGGATGAGGACTCTCCTCAAGCATCTGTTTTCATCAGTAGCCACCCATCTGTTTAAAATCTCACATTTAAGTCAGGATACCTGTTTGTTCTTACCATTTGGTATTTGAAGGTGTACTGTCTCTACCCATGGAGGAGGGAATACTGCTACCCACCAAGCTAATACCGTCGCCCTGCAGCTTGTACATATTGTCATCTGTAAGGTTGGATCTTCTTGCTATTTAATACTGGATAGCAGTGGGCAGCGTTTCAGCATCTTGTGCTGTGCCAGAAATGTATGACTCAATACAGAATGGTGTGTGTGTGTATTTCTTCTTCTTTGGCAATCACTCATAGCCCAGTAAGATTGTCTTCCATGAACATGGTCTTAACAGTGAGTCCATAAATGACTTTGGAGACCAATTCTGGATCCACAAGTCCTTCCACAGTGTCAGACATAGGTTTCCAGGTGGGAGTTGATCACGGTGAGAGTTTCCCAAACATGCCTTCCTCTTAGCACGTTTCTCCCTTTCATCCTGAGTTCAAGCGTCTTCAAAGTCCATGACACCTTTCATAAAGGCTGTTCTCCAACTGGAGCACTCGCAGGCAAGTGTTTCCCAGTTGTCAGTGTTTATACTACATCTTTTTAGCTTTGCCTTGAGAGAGTCTTTAAACCTCTCTTGTTGACTACCAGCATTATGCTTTTCATTTTAAAGTTCAGAATAGAGTAGTTGCTTTGGAAGACAATAATCAGGCATCTGCACAACATGACCAGTCCAACGAAGTTGATGTGTTAAAATCATTGCTTCGATACTGGTGATCTTTGCTTCTTCCAGTACACTGGCATTAGTTTGCCTGTCTTCCCACGTGATGTGTAAAAAAAATTGTAGTCCCCAGTGATTCTGATGGCGTTTTTAAGTGGTCCATGTTTCACAAGCATACAATAAAGATGGTAGTACAATAGCTTTGCAAACCAGCATTTTGGTTTCCCTGCAAATGTCCCAGTGTGGATGTGCAAAATAAAATGGAGCATAAAATTGTATGCAAGTATAGATCTGAAATTGTTGTTTATGGTGAACACTTTTCTATTTATTTTTAACTTTTCTTTCTTTTATTCTCTTTTTTCCCCTTCTTCTTTTTGAATATTGCTTTACAGATGTATAAATAATTATGTTCATGTGTATATGTATGAAATTTGTTTCTTTATTTCTTATTTGATATTCTTTATTTTGTATTTAATAAAATTTAATTTTTTAAAAATGGAGCTAGCTGGCTATAATGTCCGCGTAAGCTTATCGGAGCCGTTTCCCCTGAAGGGCTTGCTTTACATATAAGCGAACTTCTGGCAGGCTGAGTAGTCTCTTGTCAGGTCTGTCTTGTCGCGCGACTTACTCGTCACCGGGAGCGAGCTCGATTGGTTTAAGTGGCGAGGCGTCACCGGGCAGCGCCGAGGAGCCGTGTCGCCGCGACGCGCGGATCATGCGGCTGACTGTTCTGCGCTCGGAGCTGGGCTCGCGATCACTCTTAGCCGAGCCGGGCGCCCGGCGCGGGTTGGCAGCCGCCGCGGCCTCGCTCTTGCCCGGCAGAAGCATGGAGGAGAGCCAGGCGGGCGGCGAGCAGGGGAGCTCCCCTCCGCCCGTGAAGAGGCTCCGGCTGTGGACCGGGAAGGGGAAGGCGAAAGGGAAGCGGGCCGGGCCGGCCGAGGAAGGCGAGAAGCGCTACGTGCCGCCTCCCAAGAAGCGCAACCCCGGCGTCAGCTTCGGCCAGAGCCACTTCGCCGAGACCAGCTACTACTTCGAGGGCGGCCTCCGCAAAGTGCGGCCCTACTACTTCGACTTCCAGACCTACTGCAAGGGCCGCTGGGTGGGCGAGAGCCTCCTGCACGTCTTCGGCACCGAGTTCCGCGCCCAGCCCCTCGAGTACTACCGGGCCGCGGCTCAAGCGGGCCGCCTCCGGCTCAACGAGCAGCCCGTGCGGGACCTGGGCGTCATCCTCAAGGTGAGGCCGGAACGGAGGGAGGATGGGGCGCCGGGGTCCGAGTGGCGGGCGATTCGGGGAAACGACGGCGCGACCCTCCTGCTTGGCAGTTTGCAGGCGGGGAGATGGCATGTTCGTATGCTCCCAAAACAGGCGATGGGGAAGTGGGGAACCACCCACAGGAAAGTAGTATAGGTGGATCAGTTACCTTGCTTTCTGTTTTGGAGTTGACTTGCACACCTAAGTGGTAATAATAATTTTATTATTTATATCCTGCCCACCTGTCTGGGTTTCCCCATCCAGGAACAGTTTGCCACCTTGCCTGTCGAGCAAGTTGCAGAAACCTACATACATGGTTGATGGCCGGAGGGAGGGGAGTTATAAATAGTATGGTCAGAAGGAAATGGCATGCAAGTAGACAGTGAAAATTTTCCTATTTAAAGTAATGGAAACATATCTGTGAATCGTCACTGTTAATAAGCTAATTACCACTCTCTGTACTTACCTGCTTATCATTTCCATCTGATCTCACTATATTCAATTCTCTCCCCCCACCCCCAAACACACACACTTCAAAGTCACTAATATATTTTCCTGCAAGTCTGGACCATCATTTCCTGCATCTGACAAAGTGGACTGTAGCCTACGTGCAAAAGCTTATACCATAATAAATGTGTTAGTCTGTAAGGTGCCCTAAGATTCTTCATTGTTTTTGCTAATATTCTTACTATTTCATGGGAGCATGTCATTATGTACATTAACGGCAGAAAGCATTTTTGTTTTAGTTTGTAAAGATGTAAATTAGAATTCACTTTGCCCCCTTTTGTTGTTGGAACAAGACATCATAGAAATTGACATAATATGAAGGCCTTTACCTGACATAGGATAACATATTTTGGATACAACAAATTTTTTTCAATGTTTTAGTTAGGATTCAATCCTAACCATCTCTACTAAGAAGTAAATCATATTGCATTCATAGTCGCCTATTCCCAGGAAGTGAGGCTAGAATTGCAGTCTTAGCTAAGTGCTAGAGTTTTATGACTGTCATATTAATTATTATATATAAATTACACTGCTATATATAATGTTACCCACCTTGCGCATCCTTGGTGGATATATAACCAATAGATAATAATATTCCCTTTTATTATTTTTCCTGTTTGTTTGTTTTTTAGTAAAAGGTAAAGGTACCCCTTCCCCTACGGGCCAGTCGTGTCCGACTCTAGGGTTGTGTGCTCATCTCACTTAAGAGGCCGGGAGCCAGCGCTGTCCCGAGACACTTCCGGGTCATGTGGCCAGCGTGACGAAGCTGCTCTGGCGAGCCTTTTTTTTTTTTTTAGTAAATGGAGCTAATAACCATAATTCTTCACAAACAGGCTATTCTAGGAAGTTTCCTGCTCCTGCTAACGTACAGTAATTGTTTTGCTTTCAGAATAATGACTTCATCCGGAACACCGTACACCGCCATGAACCTCCAGTCACAGCACAGGCTATTGAGTTCCTGGAAGAAAATGATGAGGTTGTGGTTGTAGACAAACCTTCATCCTTGCCTGTCCATCCATGTGGCAGATTTCGGCACAACACTGTCATTTTTATTTTGGGTAAAGAGCACAACCTGAAGGAGTTGCACACTATTCATCGGTTGGATCGCCTGACATCAGGCGTCCTCATGTTCGCAAAGTCTGCAGAAGTGTCCAAGAGGATCGATGAGCAAGTGCGACAGCGACAGGTGAAGCCCCGAAGGTTTTTGTTCACATTTATAACCCACGCTTCCTCCTAATAACTTAGGGAGACATACAAAGGTTATACTCTCCTGTTATACTCTCCTGTTGTCCTCACAGCCACCCTGTAAAGTAGGCTAGAGTGACACCCATAGAGTTCATGCAGCGTTCGAAATTCACCAGTCGCATTTTGCACCTGGCTATCGGCCACTTGCAACCAAATGAAGATGCCCGGGTGCCAGGATGGCACCTGATGTCTCTCCTCCATCTGGAGGTGCATGCCTGGGGATCCTTGGATTTTAACTGTTTTCACACATCCTGTAGAATTCTATCTGTTATATTTTATCAGCACAATCAGAATGAATTTCAGGAACCCAAAAGTTATATTGCCTTTCAAGCCATCTGGCCTCAAAATGACAACTAGGCATTCTACTTGGCAACTGTAGCCCTGGTTTAAGGAGTCATTTGGCACCTAGCTTATATATTTGAGTTTCTAACACTGGCTTCATGGTAGAAGCAGGGATTCAGACAGGCCCAACACTCCAACCACTATGACACATTATTGTTGTCTATAGAAAAATTCGCAGTGAAATGAAGGGATTTGGTGGACATTACCCTTGCATAAAGCACTCAGGTAGGCATAGGTACTGGTTCAGACCCTTGCCAGATACCATGCAGTGATCTTTGTGGGGCTTCTGCATTCTAGAACCTAAACAGATTCTTATTTTTGTTTCCTTCACCCCACTTCCCCATACCCCCCCAATAGCTGGAGAAGGAGTATGTGTGCCGTGTACTTGGAGAATTCCCAGAAAATGAGGTGACGTGTGAAGAACCCATCCTGGTTGTCTCTTACAAAGTTGGGGTGTGTCGAGTGGACCCCAAGGGTAAAGTCTGTAAAACGGTCTTCCGGAGGCTCAGCTACAATGGCAAGACTAGTGTGGTGAAGTGTTTTCCTTACACTGGCCGCACCCATCAGATCCGTGTCCATCTCCAGTTTTTGGGACACCCTATTGTTAATGACCCGATCTACAACACCGATGCCTGGGGCCCCAAAAAGGGCAAAGGTGGCCATATTAATAAGACGGATGATGAGCTGCTTCGGGCTTTGGTGGAGGAGCATCTTTCGAAACAGAGCCTGGGTATCCTGGACGTTGCTGAGGAAGATTTGAAACCCATCGTAGGAGACAGAGTGCAAGAGGCTGTGTTGGACACCGCTGTAAATGTCAGTTCTGGCACTCGTGAGGAATTTGCAGGTGGAGAAAAGAGCAGGATATCGGCATGTTCTCAGAATTCTGTTCCTCAGGCAGAGCTACACAAGACGGAAAGTGGAGAAACTTGCTCAAATGAATCCTGGGGCGAAAAGGACCCTCTCTGTGGAGAATGCAAGATAGTGAGGCCAGACCCATCACCCAAAGATCTAGTGATGTATCTCCATGCTTTGCGCTACAAGGGAGCAGAATTTGAATATTGCTCTAAAATGCCAGCCTGGGCACAGGATGACTGGGAAGAGACCTGAGACTTTTAAATTACTCTGTAAAGACTGTGTGTTAGTGTGTGTGAGAAAGAAATGGAAACATTTTACATGTTTAGATGCACACTGAATTGGTCAGTTCATATGTAATGATCCTGGCTTAGTAGATGATTTATTATGCTGGGAACAAGGGTCAGACCTGCATGCTCCCTGATCCCTTGTGGTTTCTTTAAACCACAGTTTCTCATTACACCTGAAGTAGGAAACACTGGGTTTACTACCCAGGACCTGAAATCATGGTTAGTAAACCAACCTTGAACACGTTTTCTGCTTCAGCTATAACGGGCAACTGTAAGAAACCATGCTCAAAGTGCCAAACAGTATTGGAAGAGGAGAGAACAGTGCCACTTAAAAAAGAAAAGAAAAAGCTGTGTCCATGTTGATCCATCCTGTCCTAAGTATACAGGTTTTTTTTTGGGGGGGGGAATGTGTGAAGATGCTTTTAAATAGCCTTCCTTTTTAAGATCTCTTCTCTGTGGCCAGTCACTTCATTGCTAACCTGGTTCATTTCCATGAATGAGCACTCCAAAGATGGGCCAATGGGTTTGTATGTGGGTACACTTCAGTGCTTGAAGCAACTGCCTTTATATCAAGAGGTGGGTAATGACTAGACACTGGGCCAAATCTGACACTGGGCCAAATCTGGCCCATAGTGTATTCAGTCCATGGCTGCCTCTGCCACATTTCCATGTTCTCCTTGCCCAGCACAGAAGTCATGCAGGTTGTCTAAGGAGGAATAGCTCAGAGTGTCTATCTCTCTGTGTGTAGTCAGTTGGGCTGTGTAGTGCTTAGGTCTGTATCAGCAACTAGCACTTCAGCTTTCTTGCAGACACAGCTGGACCTTATAATTGCTGAAACCTTATCAAGCATCATTAGGTCTGTGAAAAGCAGCAGCTTGGTTTTGGGTTTCTAAATGGATGCTGGTGAGGGGTATGTGTGAATGGGGTGAATTGAGCAACAGTAGCCCCTGGCATACACCTCTGTAAATCTTGCCCCTGATGGAATGCATCCTTCTGCAGAAAAAAAGGTTCAGCTCTGTTTTATAAGAAGGAATGTGATGACAGAGCCTTTCAGATGGTTGCAACTAATAATCAGATGTACACCTATGTAGGGTTGAAGCAGGGTGTTTATATGAGAGAACAGTTTATTATATTCCTGTCTACGAAACTTTTGAGCCTTCTTACCCTTGGGCTTGAGAGGCAATGGAAATGTCTTCATTGCGTGGGAGATGGGAATGCTTCGCCTTGTCTAGGACCAAGTTTTCCCCTCCCTCTCTGAGAATAGAGGGCTTTTACTCACATTTTCCTAAACACTGTCTGGTTCTTGCTCATGAACTGCAGTCATGATTATCTACCTAAGACAGTAGTAATATATTTTAATATCTAGTGGCCCTATTTTAAGATTTTGGAGCAACCAATATGACAAAAATAAAGGAAAGTCCTATCTAGGTGGCTTCCTTCCTATACAAAGCTTAATTGTAGAGATTACAAGAAAATAGTTTTACTATTGAACTGCATGTTCACAGCTTCCAGTGCACTCACAACTCTGCCCACCCATCCCCTTCCCTTTGGTGATCCTGTCATCAGTTTTTCTAGCTTATTGCTGGGTTGAGCAGGAGTTTTGCACCTGCTATGGTACACCTCTAAGGTCCAGGTGTCAGCCCTGTTACCATCCTGCGGGGTCTGGAATGTGAAACACTATAAATAGTAAAGATGTTATAATTTGGAGTTCACTGGGAGTGCAGTGACTGCAAGTAAACACAATTCTTTGTAAATTTTGCTTATCCATATATATTTTTTAAAAAAAAGTTTAAAATTGCTATTACTGCAGAGCAACTCATTTAAATATTGACGAGCCCAACCCTGTACTTAAGGCAGCCACTATATATTGTAATAAGCCACATTTTATTTGCCCATGGTAGGCTTTAAAATTGATTCATTCAAGCATGCAGTGGACTTGCACCATTGAGGTAAGTACAGATTGTAAGATCTGGCTGTCACGGTTTGGCAGGTTTTTCCACGATGCATGTTTCTATACTCCATGCTCAGTTTTACTGTGGCTGGCTGCCATTCAGCTAATCTGTTCCTTAATGGTTCTGTGTTAACCATTCCAATAAATTAACTGTACAAGGAGGCTCGTTAAACAGTTACAAAGATAGTTAACCTGAGGAGCAGAATTGCCTTGAGGGAGCCCTTCACCACCTACTTCATTGCTTGAAAAAATCTCTGTAATGAATAGAGCTCATTCTGGCCTCTTCAAAGCATTCATCTGTGGTTATAAAATCAAGAGGAAGCGAACCATTTCTAATAAAATACACACATTAAACTTCTCTTTGTAATTTTTGGGACAAGGTCAGTATGCTTGAAAGTGCCTGCATTATAGCCCCTGCCTATGCTTGTTGAATTTGGATTTTCTCACCTGAAGAAACAGCACTGTCCAGAGGTGCCAACTTGAAAAAAGTATTTTGGGGGAGCAGGTAAGCCACATAATCAATCACAACATGCAGCACACACACCATTTGAATGGCAATGCCCATCAAGTTGGGGGGGACCCCTCAAATATTTATTTGGGGGGCTGAAGAGACCTCAGCCCCTAGGAGTTGAGTCCTGCGGTACTGTCAAAGGTCATAGAGGCTATATTGTTAGGTAGGGTTTTTTTAATTTAAAACCTTTATTTTGCCCCACCTTAAAAAAAAGAAAAGGCTCAACGGGTAACAGAATTTAGCGATTTAATAGACCTGTTATTGCAGAAATATTCCAACACTTTTTAAAAAGCACTAGTTCACCCACACCAGCAATTTGGCAAATTAAATACAGTAAAACCACAGGCTACAATGTGGAAATCTTAAAAGCAGGAAAGTTTAGATTAATTTCTGGAAGACCATTAACAAAAGAGGTTGAATTGAGCCTTCCTTAGGAGAGAGTTCAAGGGTCTAGACACAGTCCCAAAACCCTAGTTTAAGAGTGAAAGCAAACATAATGATGTGAACACAAGGACAAACATGGCTGAAGAAAAATGGGCGTGAATTTCTACAATAGGAAATTTTTCCTCAGCAGAAGGATTTGGCCCAAGGTAATTGCATGTTTAAGCATTCTACAGCAGGAACCTAGGAAGCTGCCTTTATTTGAGGCAAAAATTGGCCCGTGTATTTTAGAACTAGGTAGGTAAAAGGTAAATGAACTATCTTGATTTTTTAGATTTATTTTATATCTGACTGTGAGTGACACCACTGTTTCAGGGAAGTCTTTCCCAGCCCTAATTGAAATGCCAGGGGCTGAACCTTGAGACCTTTCGCAAACAAAGCATGTGCTCTGCCCCTAAATTCAGATTACAGTCATACCTCTTGTTATGTTTGCTTCAGGTTGTGCGTTTTCAGGTTGCGTCCCGTGGCGACCCAGAAGTACTGGAAAGGGTACTTTTTGCAGATGCACAAAAAGACGTCATGCACAGAAGCGGCGAATAGCGATGCGCAGATGCAGATTGTGTTCTGCTCATGTGAACGGGGCTCCGGAACGGATCCCGTTTGCAACCAGAGGTACCACTGTATAGGACTACAAAAGCGTTCTGCTTGGATGTGCTTCTACAATTTCCACTGCCCCCAACCCTACCTTCTGTATTCTGAATACCTTCTGTATTCCTGAATTCTGTGCAAGACACTCTCATCCATCAAAGTGCACAGTGTGGTCATTGGTGCATGGTGATGAGGAAGTTAGAGTAGACTGGACTACCTACCTATTGGAGAAACGCACCATCACCCCTTTACAAGGTTTGAGAGACAGTTTATGGGCATAGCAGGGGCAGGAACTATATTAGGGAATGCTGAGTGTTTAAATCTGGGACATCCAACACAGTGCATTCCAGGTTTGCTGGGATTCAGGGGTGCCAACTTGAATAAAATATTGGGGGGGGGGAGCTCTGCCCACCATTTGGGAACTTCCCTCAACTTGGGGGGGAGTCCAGCCCCCTCAAATATTTTATTGTGGGGCAGAAGGGACCTCAGCCGCTAGCTGGTTCCTATGGTGGGATTATTAATAATAATAACAATTTATACCTTGCCCATCTGGCTGAGTTTCCCCAGCCACTCTGGGCGGCTCCCAATCGAGTGTTAAAAACTATACAGCATTAAATATTAAAAACTTCCCTAAAGAGGGCTGCCTTCAGATGCCTTTTAAAAATAAGATAGCTGCTTATTATTAGAGCTCCCGTGAGGAGAGCTGCAGTCTCAGACTCACAATGAGGCATCGGACTCAAATAAGGCATCCAAAGTGCTCCTTAGCTACTTAATAAAATATTAAATCTTTAAGATAATCTTTAAATACAATCTTTAAGATAATAGTTTAGTTTTGTGTTACGTTGCTTTGACTGTATACTCTATATTTGACTTTCTTCAGATTGTTTTATGTTTTATTGATTTAACATGCTGTACTGTAAACCGCTTTGAGATTTATCTTAAAAATACAAAGCGGTATAGAAATTTTAAAAATAAATAAATGAAAATATTTTTTAAAAAATCAGCAGTTGCTATCCTTTCTCTGCAAAGGGTAGTTAGCCTGTTGCAACATAAACAGCTAAGAGATTTGTGCCACCTAAATACTTAAGGCTGACTTATCCAACGCTGGTCATATGCAGCGCAAATCTATTGAAATCAGTTGGCAAATTATGTGGACCCTTAAGTTCAATATGGGACTAACATTGGATGTCACCTTGTCTTCTTTGGGTGGGGGGCGTGAGCTCTTTTGGGGGGCTAGAATGAAGCTCATTCAGCACAGTTGTCATCCTGACTTTTACGATTTCGGGGTAACGCTTCCTAGGAAGAGAGAAAATTGCCTTCCTTCGCATTCAGAAGTTCCGGGGAAAGCAGTGGCCATCCTCCCAAGCACAGTACAATGATAATGATCATAATTACATTACTGTTGTTTCTTTTCCCCCAATTTTTTTTTATTGATTTTCACAAAATTAAAAACACACTAACAAATAAACAAACATAAATCACAACCTTATTAAAACTAATCTTCTTAACATTGTTAAGCGACTTCCTCGTATCCCCCTAGTTGAATTTCAATGCATATCATTTTAAAGGTTTTCCAAATGTATTACTATTGTTTCTATTGCACGGCGGCAGTGAAAGGGTTTTCCATTTTGCTTCTGAACTGAAGTTTCCCCACCCCAAATAAAGAGTTTCATCAAGTAAAACCGCACTAGTGGATGAATAAGTCGGGATTCGGATTCTCACCCCCGACACACTTGGCTTTGCATTACAGCGTGTCCTACACATATTAAAGAATTTGCCCGCTTAGTAAATAAAGATCAGAAGCCGCCACGCCGAATTGTTTTACGTTAAACAAAAAACTTCCGACGAGGATGGGATTCGAACCCACGCGTGCAGAGCACAATGGATTAGCAGTCCATCGCCTTAACCACTCGGCCACCTCGTCACAGAAACCTCCACTCTCTCCAAGCCTATAAGGAACTGTTCCAACCGTAAACCTTTCTCTCGCCACCCGCCGGCTTAGATGAATATACCGTCGCCCCTGAGCAAACGCTATGCCGTGTGCGGTACAACGAATGTCCTGAAGAATGACAACAACTCTCCCGAGAAGCCACAGAACGTTTCGTGGGTTTCTGCCTATCCCTTTCCCGGCGGTGGCTCCGTTGGCCTCACCGCACGGAGGCCGCCATGTTGTACGGAACGAGGGCGCTGCCGCGACGCCAATCCGAAACCGCCATTTAGGCCTTGAAGCGAGGTTGGCGGTTGGAGGCGCATGCGCGCGGTCTGGCGGTTATTTTGAATCCCGCCGGAGCCTAGTCGGGCGCTGTGCCTTCAGTCGCGGGGAGGCCTCAAAGGAGACGGGTGTGCGGCTGAAGACCGGACCCGGGAAGGTGAGCAGGGAGCGAGGGCGTCGCGCCAGAAGCGTCGGCGTGAGGGGAAGGGAGCGAGTGGGGCGGGGGGCGCTTCGCGGCCTCCCCAAATCTCCTTCCTCGCGTGACTCTGGGCTCGGCACTGGCGGCCCTGAAGCGGCTCCGGCCGGGAGTGCTGCTCCCTCCCTCGCCCTCCTGCTCTCCACCCCCGCCGAGTTGCTTTAACCCTGGTTTCTTTTTCTTTTTAAAAATTATTTAATTTTCACCTTTTGAAATTTACAACCAACCAAAATAAAAAGAGATTTCCATGCATTCCCCTGAACTTTCTCTCCTCCCCTTTGTGTATGTTAACTTTTTTTCTCCTGTATCTTCTCTATTAAATCTCCATGACAACCGTTAAACTACAAGTCTCATTCCAATCCTACTAATATTTTTCATTGTTTGCAATGATTCTTAAGGTAAATTATATATTTTTCCCTATTCCTTATTAAAAAAATTGGTCTTCCTGGTTTCTAATTCTTCCGGTCATTTTTGCTATTTCGGCATAATCCATCCGTTTAATCTGCCACTCTCCTCTCTGGTAGGAATTGTGTCTTCTTTCAATCTCTGGGCTAACAACATCTGAGCAGCTTTCCCCTAATTTCTTTCCCGCCTTGACCCATTTCTAGCGCGCGACATTGACTTAAGTGGGGCTTACTTCCGAGTAAACCGTGCACTGCGGGGCAACCTCGAGTTAGCGCATTTCTGCTGGCGCCTTTGTTGGAAGTAAGGAAAAGGCAAGCGAGGTAATATTTTATATAGTACTGCCAGAAGTTCCTGCCTCTGGCTTGCTAGATTTAGGCTGGAGGCCCACTTTCCTGGGAGTAAGCTCCCTTGCTTTTGAGTAGACGTTTATAGGAGTGTGCTGCTAAAGGCCCAGTTTAAAGAGTCATTTGTGATAATTGAATTACATCATGGTGGTCGTCCCCCCCCCCCCCAGATGCGCTTTGAAGAAGGAATACTTTCAAACTAACTCACCTGATCATGGGGGGGGAGTGGTAGAAAAAACTAAATGACAGCAGAAACTGGAGAAGTTTACCGGAAAGATGACAGCTGGCTTAAGATTTTATGTTGTGAACCATGGTATATACTACTAATAATAATATTTTTTATTATTTATACCCCACCCATCTGGCTGGGTTTCCCTAGCCACTCTGGGCGGCTTCCAACAAACTATTAAAAATACAATAAAACATCAAACATTAAAAACTTCCCTAAACAGGGCAGCCTTCAGATGTCTTCTAAAAGTCAGATAGTTGTTTCTTTAAATACAAAATCAATAAATAAATAATAAAAAAAGACAGGGGGGGAGCATTTCTGCGGTCCTATGAAGTTAAGTGGGTGGCTACATTGGAAGTTATGGAATAGCTTCTCCAGAGAGGCTCGTCTGGCATCTTCTTTATGGTCTTCCCACCCATTGAAGATCATTTTATTCGCTCACACTTATGAATTTGTGTTTTAAAACCAATCCTAGTCTTTCAGTATTTAAATGTGGTTATAACTAAACTATACACTTTTGCTCTTTCAGTATGATTTTTATTCTGGCCTGCAAATTGTGTTATTCTGTAGTAGGAGGAACATCTTATTGTTTTTATTGGGTTCTTCTTTAAAATTACTGTATTTAGGTTTAATATTTTATAATGTGTGGTTTTGCTTTATAAGCTGTCTAGAGTTTTATTGATGGTAGCCAAATACTGTAGTGTCCATCATTTTTCATTTAATTTTGTCTCAAAAAACACCTGTGGTAGCTTGTTGTACTGTGCTTTCACACAGTTTTAAGACTAATTTTGCACTTGTTGTAGGAAACCAGTCTCCCAAAATGGACAAGATTTATTCCGAAATGAGTGATGAAAAGTAAGTTGTGCTTTCAGTGCATGCCTTTTCTAGTATGACAATTTGTTGTTTTTTATTTGCTGATTGTTATGTCTGTTAGCTGGTGGCCTGTGAGATTACAATGTGTGTGCTTTGTATTTGAGTAATGGCTGTTTACTTTCATAAAAGTTCTGAAATTTTAAACCTGTATTTTACTTTTCAGAAAGTTTCTTGCTTTTCACTGTAAACAATTTTGCATAAGGTGTGTTGAGGAGGATTGAGGTTTAACTTTCACGGAGTTTTACTTTTTCTTTTTTAGTGACTTCACAGAGGGCAGAAAGAAAAGAAGGATTTCCTCAGTAAGTGTAACTTTGAATAAGATCTATATATATAGATTTTATTTTAGAAGAAATGTAGCAATTGGTTAGGCCAGTCAAATGACCACGCAGCAGTCAGAGAAATAAAGCAAGAAAGTTTTAATTATTTGCCGGCAGCAAGCAATGGCGCAGAGGAATAAGTTCCAAAGTCCGGCCCCTCCAAACAGGGGAGGCTTCCCTTTATACAGTACATTCTTAAATCAGGTCTTTATCCAATCAAAAGTTACAGCATTACACATACTGTACTCAGATAGATACATTAGGTTCCGCCTGGAGACAAGAACTGCTTTGCCTAGAGATTGTGTTCCAGATGGATACATTAGGTTCTGCCTAGAGTTAAGGCATGAGGAGTTGGACATTCATGTCTTCCATGGCCTTATGTGGTAATCTTTATCAGCCTATCTCTGTGTGTCTCTGGGTAGTGGGTGTCTGAGTGTAGTTACTGGATATGGGGGCCTGGCCAGATCAACAGAATGGCTTCCTTGCTTAACATTTTAACTCTCAAAATGGCTTCCCTGAGCACGTTGCCACAGTAGATAGTAGTAATCCTGACTTCACTCGCTTGTACAGAGAGAAATTAGTTCATTGGTCTTATCCTCCTGTTAGTGATTTTGTATTTGTTGTGCTAACGATTATAGTTGGCCTGATTACATCCTACATTTTGTCATTTTATTGTGTAACCCACCTGATGAACAGTGGGAAATAAATGAATAAAATAAATAAAATGAAAACAAATGCAATGCAAAATCTTTGCAATTATCTATGTATTATCCACTTTATTCCTGTCCTAGGGATAACTTTATTCCTGACCTGCAGCTACATACATACATAATTTTATTTGTGTGCCACCTTTCCACAGTCAAAACCATGCTCTAGGTGGCTTACAACATGAAAAATAAATAATTACAAATATAACAAAAGTAGTCATAAACAATAAAACATCAAAAGGTATACAACCAAATTGAAACAATTTCCGCATAAATCATAACATCCAACATAAAGATACAAAAAATTAATAACAGCAACACCCCTGCTTCCAAAATGGTGTCCCCGCCCCCAACTAACGTAGCAGCTGGAGTCAATCAGGTCCGCACTCTCCTAGGCCAGGTAGAAAAAGGCCTGCAAGGCAGTGAGCCGGACTTCCCAAACTCAAAGAACGTATCATAATGAAATTCTGAATATTCTGTTCTGCAATCAAGACTCTAAACATTACATATACGGTATATTGTGCCTCTTTCTGTAATGGTGGCAAAAAAGAGAGAGCTAATTTTCTGATACCAAATGTACTCTGCTCTTATAGAGCTTCATGATCTAAAACTCTGCATTTTGTGACAATTCTGTCAATAATTGGCTAAAACTTATTTTTTTAACAATAGTTTAAGCTGTCATGTGAACCTATATTTAATACATATGCCAAGTTTCCTGCTTTCTGAGTTATCGTGCAAAGTGAAACTTCTAGAACAATCTGTAGACTGAATCTTAAGCCATTTGTGCGTAGGGAAGGGGGAAAGCCTCAGCCAGATTTTATAGAAATTCTTGCTACTGCAGCTCTGCAGACAAAAATGCAAGCAACTGTTTAGTTCCAAGTGTCATGCAGTGTTATCTATGGAAATAATGCTACAACAGTGTATGAAGTTCATTTCCATACATGAAAATGTTTATTTGGATTGCAGACATAGTAAATACATTTGGTAATTTTCTTTAGGACAGTTCCATTCTTCTTTTCAGTTGGAGTGTGTTCATCTGCCTTTGACTTGAAATATTCAGACTGCCAGTCTTGGTTATTAAAAATTACAAGGATAGTAAGGAATGAATTACTATCCTGAGTGACAATTCAGAAATCTGCTTTAATTGCATTAGTGCATTCTGAAAGACTTTATCTTGGAGATATATGCATACAGTACTACTATTTTGAATAGCAGAAGTTGTTCCACAAACCAGAAATCTGTTTACTGTGTAATATGCAATGTTGCTTTAATAAATAGTTTTGTAGCTGCTTCAAAAATTGTTTTCTCAATGATGCCTATTTCCTTTGTAGATTTTAAAAGCTCCCCAGACCCCTCTCCGTGACTTAGGGAGTGGAAATGAATTAACTCAGGTAGGCATTACATTACATGGAGTAAGGTCATCTCCAAATGTAAGTCAGTGTCTGTAACCTACCACTGGTTAATTTTTTTAAAAAAGATGTCTATATTTTAAAAAGTGTATAACTTCTTGACATATTTATTTTGAAGTAGCCTTGTCTCAAGTTAGTGGGTGAAATTCACTGCTGCCATCCCACTTGCGGAGCAGCTTTCAATGCAGTGGAGTAGCCTGGTAATGTAATGTTGGGGAACCTCTGGTCCGCATGCCTAATTAAGCCTGTTAGGGGATCTAATTTGGCCAATAAGGCCCAGCCTACCAGTGCTACATCTGACATCATATACTACCTTCTCGGTAGTGGCGCCCGCCCTATGGAACGCCCTCCCATCAGGTGTCAAAGAGATAAAAAACTACCTGAAATTTAGAAGACATCTGAAGGCAGCCCTGTTTAGGGAAGTTTTTAATGTATTTTTAATCTTTGTTGGAAGCCGCCCAGAGTGGCTGGGGAAACCCAGCCAGACGGGTGGGGTGCAAATAAATTATTATTATTATTATTATTATTATTATTATTATTACACGCCTGTGCAAGAGCCATCTATCAGTTGATTGGCTTCAGTTAAGAAGCCCAGTTCCCTTGCCCATAAAGTTTGATTTCATTTCCAGTGGACAAAAGAAAATGGCATGTGATTGAATCAAAATTGCTCACAGGGGTTGGAGGAGGTTTCTTCCACTTCCCCATTCCTGCTACAGCTCCTTAAATCTGCTTGGGGAACCTTTCAAAGCAGCATGAAAAATGTGTGGATGTGTTGCAAAGGGACCAAGGAATCAGAGAAAATTGCCTCCCTTCATTTTACATTTGCAGATTGCTGTGCTGGATCAAAAGCATTGGATTTCACCCAACAGGGGTTAATTTGCATGTATGGGTGCAATCCAAACTGTCTATGCCACTGGGTGACTTGAAAACCAGCTCCATGAGCACTGGATATTTAGCATGTTTGCAATTTAAATGTGTTCAGGTACCATAGATATATAAGTCTGTTCCTAAAGGTTAATTTTCAATAACAACACTTAATATCAGGTATCCTGGTTGAAAGCTTTCATATAAAAGTTGCTGCCTATGCATTTAATTTCTGTGTTGCATATTCAGGACTGCAATGTTGAAAAACGTCAGAGAAACTCCAGGCGTGTCAGTTTTGCAGCTACTATCAGGTAAGCTTATTCTTAAAGTAGCATATCTATAAAACTGGTCTTGAATGCAAACAGCCCCAAACTCCACTTTAAAAAGCTATAGATCCTTATCAGCTGTCTACATTCTCTCTTAGATTGATGAGTGAAATGCTTGTTAAGGCAAGATTTAAAAATATCAATTTAGCTGCTCTTTACTTAATGAAAATGGGGTATGGGGTATTTAAAAATCCCAGCATACTGTTCTGACGGTCCTAAACAATATGCACTGTTATACTACAGACTAATATTACCACTTTTTAACACATTTGGAAACAAGTTTGGAAGATGGATCATTGCTTGTGGTGTGTACTGACATCCCATTTGGTCTCATTGCATTGCAGATTTTTTGCTATTGTCAGAATATACTAAATAGTGCTATTTGTGGAATGGAGACAGTTTCTAAGCACAAACAATAGAAACACAATTTTATTATTTTATGCTAGCATGGCTTAGTGATTAGGGTCAGCCTAGAACTGGGAGACCCAGGTTCATATTGTGCCATTCTCGCTTTTAGCATGATCCATCTCCCAGGGTTGTGAGAAGCAAGGGGAGAGAACTGTTTTTAATTATTTAAAACATTTATGTACTGCTCTTCATTTAAATCATAACAGACCAGTTCACAATATATGAATATAATGCATTTTAATATGTAGATTGTAGTGTAAGAAAACACACCAAGATACAAATGACTGAATCCAACAAAACATTACAACCAAGCTAGGAATTAAAAGCAAATGAATGGATAAGTTTTAAGAAAGGGCCAAAAACTCAGCCTGTCAATTATAAAAGGTTAAATAAAGTTTTAAAACTTTTATGTTATAAAGGCTAACTGCTCTATCCACTATTAACTTGTGCACTCTCCCAATAGCATACTTTAGTTCCAACTTTGCATGAATGCAAGGGACTCCTTGTATCCTGAGCTGTGACAAAATCAAAGTCGGTGCACATATAGGGTTTTATTTAGGGTTTTTTTATTGGGTTGTTGTATTTTGATTTTATGTATTTGAACCGTCCTGAGACCTTCGGGTATAGGACGGTATAGAAATTAAATAAATAAATAAATAATATGAATGTTTGTTTTCTTTACAGCAAATATTTCCAAGTTAGTAAAATTGTAATTCCTTTTGTCTGTGTGTTTTAGCATCTTCCCATCAGATCCTCCAGCCACTGAGGTAGACCATACCGGTGAGAACTTTTGTTCATTTTTATGTTTTTGGATGATAACGAGAGCCTTATTACATTCACCAACATCAATGCTGATGTTTATTTCATGATGTTTTTTGTTTAATTTTAGGAACAGCAGCAGCAAAGAACCAAGACACATTTAATCAGTAAGCCTGAAATGAATTGCCTAATTGAACAGATTTCTCAGTTTTAAAGTACAGTGGTACCTTGGTTTAAGAACAGCTTAGTTTATGAACAACTTGGATTAAGAACACCGCAAACCCGGAAGTAGGTGTTTTGGTTTGTGAACTTTGCCTTGGAATAAGAATGTTTCGCTTCCTGTTGAGTGTGTTCCATTTGTAAATTGAGTCCCCTACTGGTATGGGAAAGCACACCTTGGTTTAAGAACACTTTGGTTTAAGAACGGACTTCCGGAACGGATTAAGTTCGTAAACCAAGGTACCACTGTAGTCTGAGACATGATTTCCAGTCATATAATACTTCTACCAGTGTTGACTGCTTAATGCAGTGTTTCCTAAACTTCTGGTAAATGGGAAATCATTTTTCAATGACTGAAATTCCACCTGATAGGGTTTGTTCCTAGAATGTGCAAGATGGCAATAGTCAGCCTCCTCTGAGGGCATAAATTCTAACTCTGGAGTGATTGGGCTACTCAGTCTACTGCTTTCTCAAGGCATGCTGGTATATTCCAATAGACAATGTGAGAATGATTGACTTGATGAAGGGATCTACTGCATAGGAAACTTTATTACATGCCTTTAGAGCTGGAAGAGTGATTTAACTGATAACTACATTTGTAATTGATCTTAATGGTGGGTTGGATTTCAATTAAAGTGCATGTAACAGGGTCATAGTATAGTAGAAGTAGTGGTATAATTCCTACAGTTATAGTTCTGTTAATTGCTAGTTTTCCTGTTGAGATAATCTTTGATATAAATTAAATCAAGTTATGATTTATTGTTACTGCCTTTTTAAGGAATGCAGAACTGGAGGCCGACCTGTGTAATATCACTGGTACGTATGAAAACAGCAATTACCTTTAAATATACACTGCTTTTTGATAATGTGTTAAAATTTTGTATGATATGGTTTTGTAAATATATTTGCTACTTGGAAGTGACATAGATTGTACTTAATTTGTGGCAATAAAGCCTCACATACCATGTGGTGACATAGAAAGTTTGATTGCTGGGAGAACTCAACAGTCCAGCTGCTGTGAAGGATGAAGACATTGTCGATTTTGGATTAGAACAGCAATCCAACACCAGTGCCCCTTACACCAGACTGTGAAAGATTTGGATTGGGTGGAAGTGTACCTTCGCTACTGGCAGTATCCCTGTTGGTGGGGGCCAGCAGAAAGTCTCAAAACCGGATATTCTGAGAGAGAAGGTGGGTTTGAGCTGGCCCAGGTTCCAATGGTTCCTGAGCTGGTTTTGCTGCCATCATGTGATGGCATTGGGCCTGATCAGAACTGACTGATGCACAAGCCTGGAGCTGACACAGGGATCAGACCTGATCCTGCCCTACCTTCCACTGTGGCCACTGAGAGCAGACTGGGTGGGTGTGGATGCAGCAGTGACTCTACTTCTCTCTAAAACCACACCAGTGGGAAGTTGGTTTGCACCCTGAAGCAGTGGTTTTCAACCTTTTTGAGTCCACAGCTCCCTTGACCACCTTCTTTCTGCAGCTCTCCTGTGTGTGATACAAGTGAGTCCTCATTTATGTGGGGGTTCCATTCTGGACCACTGTTCACATCCCCTAAACACATAAGTGGGGATTCCCCTGTTCTGCTCCTGCCCCGCAGCTGAGCAAGTCCCAATGTCCCTGCTGCTTGCGAGCAGGAGGGACCTCAGGGCTTCTTTGCGAGGCTTAGCTGGGGGGTGGCAGGGCCCTCCAGCTGAGTGAGCTCCACGCCTCTCCAGCTCGCGCATGAAGCACTGGGGCTCACTCAGCTGGGGGGGGGGGTGCGATAGCAGCCCAAAGAAGCCGAGAAAGGAACAAGCTGTATTGGCCCAGTGATACTCCTCTCTCTGCAGTGTGAGGGGCAGAGCGATGGCAGCTTCACCCGGCAGTATATCACAGGTGAAACTGCTGCTGCTTCTGAGTCCCTCTGTTACCAGCAGCCGAATGTTGAAAGTGGCGCTGGTAGCAGAGGGACTCAGGAGTGGTGTCGGTGTCACCCGCAATATACTGCTGGGTAAAGCAGTAAAAAGCCATCACAGTCTGCTCCTCATACCAGTCCTGCTCAATGTATCGCTACATCGCCCAGGCCTAGGCAGACGTGAAGTAGCTCGGAGGGGCGTGTTAGGGCTACTAGGGCTAACCTTTTCCAGATCATGGTCAATTCTCCAAGGGCCAAAGTGAAAATGGCCAGTTTTTACTTATCACAAAGTTTTTGTGATCTTTTTCATCAGTAAAATAAACATTAAAAAAAATAATGGACGGATTTAGGGGGCTCTGAGTTAGAGTTAGGCCAAAAAAGTTTGGATTCACAGCATGGGAATAATTGGTTCTTTTTTAAAAAACCTTGATGGAGGCACACACAAGATCTCTTGGTCAGCCATCCCAGTCTGGAGTCTGATAGAATAATTGTGGCAGTTATGGCTCCTATGACCTAGCAACCCCCAGGTGGCAAGAAAAGCCAGGAAGCATGGTAGGTCTGAAATTCATGCATTAATTTGAACTAACCAGCCAATACTTTGGCTTCAGAATGTCTGTTGCGTAAATAAACAATTTTTTGATATTTTTTTTCCTTCTCAAAAGGGATGAACACCTTACTTCATGCTCCCATCAGGACACCTTTGCAACAATTGGAGGTAAAAAAAAAACATTTGTTCCTCTAACATAATACCATATATACTCGAGTATAAGCTGATCCGAATATAAGCTGAGGCACCTAATTTTAGCACAAAAAACTGGGAAAACTTAATGACTCGAGTATAAGCTGGTTCACCACACCACAAACCTGGTGGTGGCGGCGGCAGTGGCGGAGGAAGAACAAGCAGCCCAAAGGGGCTGCTTTCAGGCTGCTCGTTTCTCCACCACCTCTGCCGCTCGCAAGGGCAGGCATAGGAGCCGCGGTTGGGAGCAGCGCAGTGCCCTTGTGAGAAGCGGGCGGTGGCAGCGGGACCAGCAGCGAGAAAGGGCTCCTTTCGGGCCTGTCATGCCGCTGCCCGCCTCACTCAAGTATAAAATTCTGTATGCTAGCTTTCATCAATCAGATGTTCTTGGGCCTGCCCACCCCCCATGTTGTTCAACTACAACTTCAATGATGTCATGGTGGCTGAGGTTGATGGGCCTTCTGGTCTAACATCTGGAGGACACCAGGTTGGCAAAGACTGCTGTCAACAAAATGAAGAGCAACACACTGAAGAATACAGTGGTACCTCTGGATGCGAATGGGGTCTGTTCCAGAGCCCCGTTTGCATCCTGAAGCGAACGCAGCCCATGGGTCGCGATTCGCTGCTTCCGCGCATGCGCGTGATGTCATTTTGAGCGTCTGCACAAGCGGCAAAACCAGGAAGTAACACGCTCCGTTACTTCCGGGTCACCGCGGAGCGCAACCTGAAAATACTTATCCCGAAGCTACTTCAACCTGAGGTATGACTCTACTTATTTACTTTAGAAGACCTGGTTCCTCCCTGCCCCCAATCTTTGCATTGTTTGTTTAACTAGTCAGTAGTGTAAGCTGGCCTTACCATTTTGGTATCTGAAAGTTAGGTTAAATGTGCTTAGAAGTTAAATACAGTGGTACCTCGGGTTACATACGCTTCAGGTTACAGACTCCGCTAACCCAGAAATAGTGCTTCAGGTTAAGAACTTTGCTTCAGGATGAGAACAGAAATTGTGCTCCGGCGGCACAGCAGCAGCAGGAGGCCCCATTAGCTAAAGTGGTGCTTCAGGTTAAGAACGGACCTCCGGAACGAATTGAGTACTTAACCTGAGGTACCACTGTATAGGCAGCAACCATTTTGCATGGGGGCTCCATTCCTGGCCCCCACACCCATCAGTGGAACATGCATAAGCCCGTTCCACCCCCATTCCTCCCCTCCAAAAGGACGTGCGTTTTGGCAGTCACATGTCAGTTGGACATGCCTAAAGTGGTCACTGCCTGTACATAAGTTTCAGTAAACAGTTTTTTTCTTTTTCTTTTTTTTTAATAGGATAACGTAAACAACAAGCAAGAATGGAGCAAAATGGATAGGACGCTCCTCTTCTCAGATGAAAATGAAATGGATATGACGTCTGGTCACACTATAATAATTAAGCATGCCACTGAATTGAAACAAGAAGTTATACAAATGAATGATCTCAGTTTTAATAGCTGCACTACAAAGCGGAATGAGTCCTGTTTGTCTCAACAGAAGACAAACACTGAAAACACAAACAAAATAAATTTTGATGATTTCTTGAAAAGCTTGAAGTCCACTAAACTATTTCCTTCACCCATTGCTTCAGAGGCTTCAGAAAGAAATGTGTGTCCTTCAAAGGAGAATGCATATACCTACTTAGAAGGCGGAAATAGCAAGAACACAGATTTTGGAAGACCCGCTAACAGGCAAAACTATGCAAACATTAATGAAGGAGCTGTTAGCATAAAAAATGCTAGCAGTGATGCCTCAGTGTCTTGTTATCAGGGAACTATTCCATTTTCTATGCCCTTTGGATCTGTTACTTCTATGCCTGTTCTACATGGTAACACTAATAGAAAAAGTGGGGTTTTAAACAATGCAGCATCCTTAAATTCTGCAGATAAAACTTCTATATTTGGATTTGGTGAGGACATGGAAATAACTAAACCCACATACTTAATAGATAATCCTATAAATGCTGCTGGATTCCAAGATATGCCATCTCAAGAAATGGGAATTGGTAAGAAAGGTATAACTCTATTAGATAAGACAGTTTTATTTTCCCTGAGTGAAGACAATGAAATGGAGTTTACCAAGAGCTGTACAGTAGCAGCGCAGTATGATATACAGCAGTGTGAAAGAACATCTCAAGTGCCCTCCTTACAACCTTTGGATAAAACTGTTTATCATAACAACATGGATGAGACTAAAGCCATAACAACCATAATAGATCATCCTGTAAAAGCTGCTGGTGCCCAAGCTATGCAAAAACAAAGTGAGTCGGGATCAACTAATGTAACCGGACCAGCTTGTGACAAAACTCTTGTATTTCCCCAGAGTGAAGACAATGAAATGGAGTTTACCAAGAGCCTTACAATGGCAGTAGAGGAAGCTCCCCTAGCACAATCATGGATACCTGCAGGGAGTACCAACATGTCTGTATTTAGCAGTAACATGGCAATAAGCAAGTCCACAGCTTTTCCAGAAGGTAAAACAATGATGTATATGCACAATGACGGTATGGAAGTAACTAAGCCTATAAGTCACATAATCAATACATCTCAAGAAGATACTGGTTTCAAGCCTTTGCAGCTGAAGAAAAAAGAGATGGACAAGATGATTCAATCAAGTTCAGCCAAGGAAGAGACCATGTGTTGCTTGGATAAAGACAATGAGATGATGTTTATGAGGAACCATACAGTGTCAGTAAACAGTGATATTATTATCCCATGGGCCAAGGTAGCTACTCAAGTACTGTCCTCAGCTCCGGTAGATAAAAACAGTATGTCCACACACAGCAGTGATGCAGCAATAACGAAATCCACTACTTTTGTTCCTGCAAATAAAACGATAATGTGTAATAACTCAATGGAAATAACAAAACCCATATCGAGTGCATTTTTAAACAGATGTTTCAAGTCTTTGCCGCAGCAAGAGATGAGCAATACCACAATACCGGGCTCAGTTACAGATAATACTGTTCTTGCCCTACATGATAATGAAATGGAGATGACAAAGTGCCATACAATAACTGTAAATGTTGATAACATCTCCCAGTCAGAAAACTCCCCCCATATACAATTTCATCAGGATGATATGAACATTGCAGGATCTTATGCCATTACTAAAAACCCTAAGGGAAACTTGCCTTGGAATGTGATGAAGCTGGAAATGGATGCTGGATGGGAACCCTCGTCAGATCAAATTGCAACATTAGGTGTGGCTGGCACAGAAATGGTTAAAAGGCAGACAGTGCCATTTGACAGCAGAACATCCATGTACTGCCAGCCAGATAGCCAAGCTAAGTTCTTAGGCCACCCCAATAAGACTGATGCATTTGCATTTTACCAGGATGGCACAGAAGTCACAATCCTGCCACCTAGTGCTGTTGTTAATGGGAGCCTGGAGGCACCTGAGAAACAAGAAATGCTAACTAAAAACTTAAGACAGAATTTAGGTAATGTACCTTTCCCTACATGTAGGGGGACATTGCAAGATATAGAAGCTACTAGAAATCAAGCAGTTATCACTTACGACCCTAACCATCCATGTGATGCTGAGAAACAAAGACCAAAGTCCTCCACGAGGTCAGAAGAAAAGGCTTTTGGATTTTTAGGCAGTGAGAACATGGAGGTGAATGGTGTTAAAAATCAATGTTTTCATTCTCGGACAAAATCTAGCTCTGAATTTCCCCATTTCAGTTATGGGGGAAAACACGATGCCCAAATTGACAATGATCTCTCTCAAAAATGCAATTCACCTGCCAGTGTGACGTTACCTATAGCTCTGGAAATTGTCCCAGAACAGCAGGACTTTTTGAAAACCCAAGAGAAACAGCTGGAATCCTGCACATTTAACGCTAATTTTGCAAAAGAATCTACATTGAATGATGGATATTGTGAAAAAAATGATTTTACATTTCCAGTTAAAATGTCTGCGTCATATACAAAGTTACATGAGGAAACTGCTGTTGAATCAAACACAGAGAGAATGTGCATATCAACTGCTGAATTCAAGAGCCTGAATGATGATCCAAGAAAGTTGTCTCAGTCAAGACAGGTTGGTAGGTTTGCTGGAGAAACAGAGGCTTTTCCAGTTGATAAAATAACTAAAAAATGTGGTACTGTGTTGTGTGACTGGAGTAGCACTGTAAAAGATAATAACATGGACCCTCCTCCCATCAATAACGTTACTTCAGAGGAGGAACCAATCCTTCTGTCTAAACTGTCTGATGTTGTCAGTGATTGTTCAAAGCTTAATGATAATGGGAAGAAGTCTGAACTTTTCCTACCCTCTCAAGACATTGGGAAAGAATTGCCCCAAATGGCAGTGAAGCCAGCTGATCATTTCGAGTTGAGAGAAGATGTAAAAAAAGTATCTAATATTCCTACTGCTTCTAATGAGTGGACAAACAATGATTTTACAGATGTTGCTCCTCTCTCTGTGCCCTTAAATGCCATGTGGAACGATAGCTGTAAGATGAAAAAATCAGCCCTGGGTATCTTCCCACCTAAACTGCCAAATAAAAGGAAGCCTACTGTTTCTAATGTAGAATATATTGGTGCCAGATCAGAAGAGAAGGTAGAAACTCAAGGTTCAAAAATCACTCAGTTTCTCAGGAGATCCCTGGACAAAGTTACCCCCAACTTGAGTCCATCTCATTATATAGATGAAGAGCTGCTTCCTGCATGTGTAGGTGAAATGGATTTTGATGAGTCTTTAGGTTGTGAAGTGCCAGAAAAGCTGATGAATGAAAAGGAGCTTGCTGATACGGAGGGCTGTCTGCTTGAAGTGTTTGAAACAAGTAACAGGAAGAAAAGATCTTGGAATCAAGATGATGAGAAACTTCAGCAGGAAAAGAAGCTCAAGACAGACGAGGGCTGGAATGATGCAGTAGAGTTCAAGCAGGTGGGTTTAAGATGATTGTTTGGCACTTGGTCACATTTTCTCGAGTCTGTAAAATCACCTATGAATTAATGAACAAAGTACATATTTAACAGTGGGTTTTATCCTAAAGGAAGCTGAAATGGTATAGTAGCTATAAATTCATTAAGTGGTTTGGGGCAACTGATTATTCTTTCAGTTGTGCTGTGCTCCTGAAGTGTGGGTAAGAAATAACATTTTTTTAAAATCAGCTGGTCTTTCAAATATTTGGTGATCCACAGCAAACAAAGAAATAGTTGAGTTGCTGTATCAACAAAATAATCTTGCTAATTTAACTTTTATTGAATAATATTTATTTATTTATTATTTTAGCCCCTCTCCAGCACAATGTTAGCTCATGAAACACAGGAAGGTGAAAATGTTACCGACCTATTAGCTACAAATATGGAAAAGAAGCAAAGCAGCAACAGCAGCTCTTTGGATTCGGTTAAGGCTGATACAGACTTCTCTAGTAAGAATTCCTTCTTATCTGATTATATTGATTTCAACTAATTCCATCAGTAAAGAACACTACAGTATCTTGTATATGATAGAGGTATTCAGGAATGAATGGCTTCACAAGCACACCTATGCAAATAGGATAGACAAGCTTCTAAATGAGACACTCTTGTATTTAGTGTCATCTAAGGGTTCCAATGGAATTTCTCAAAATAACTTGTCAAAAGATTATACCTGATTTGTGCCCATATGCATAGTCTTGCTTCGTCAGGTTACTGTTCTACTTTTGCAAGTCCAAGTAGACCCACCCCTGCCCCCTTTGCATTTCAACAATATCTTAGAGCAAGAAGCTGCTGGAGGAGAGGACAGTGAATTGAGGTCTACTTAGTTTGGGGCAATTTTCCTTTCTCAGCAGCCCTGTATCCCTGCCCCACCCACTCCAACCCTCTGGTGAAACTTTTGAGTGGGTGCAGATAGTTATAGTGGTGAGTTAAGCCAGTAAAAAAATATCCTGTAAACTTACTTAACCTACCTGGAATCCAAACCATCACCTCTGATTAGAGTCTCCTCTGAGATGCTTCTTCAAAGTGGGAAGCTATAATGGAAAAAAGTGCCAGGTCCTCTGTTCTCTTACAGTTTTCAGTCATACTCTTACCACAATTCACCCTTTCTTCCTTTGGCACTGCTAGGAACGCAGCTGCCTTGCTGGCTAAGACTAGAAGTCCATCTCCTTCAGTGTTCTGTTTTCAAAAAGAGCCAGCAAGCTATATGATGAATATAGATAGGCTATTTGCCCCAGTATTTATGGAAGTCTATTGACACTAATAAGAAGCTTATGTTCTTAGCTTTTAGGGCTAATTGCTATTGATAGATTGATCCTTAATAGCTATTGGTGGTTGATCCACCCTAAACTTGTCTGATGCAGTTGAAAACTCTCTGGCATTGTTGCATATTGTTTCGGTAAATTCTAGAAGATACCCATGTATTAAATTGTCTACCGAAGGCTATTGGATGGTGCCTCCTCTCTCTGCCAGGAGGAACATAAGGGCAAGGGGAAAACTAGCCTGGCTCCTGCCATTGGTCAGAAATGAGCAACTGCAGAGAGCTGCTCTTCTCTCCCCCCCCCCCCCCCGGAAAAAAACTGTTCCAACTGCCAATTGCCCTGAGATTTAGAAGCAAAGGAAAATGCACATGTCCTGCATTGGTCAGAGCATCAGGAGCTGCTGCGTGTAATCTGCCTTGAATAGCATTTGAATCATCTAAAGATTTTACATAACATTTTCTATGCTTCTAGTATTTTGAGAGCAGCATTTTGTTATTAACTACGCTATTTGTATTTTTTTAAAAAAATAAACCTCCGTATTATGAATTGGGGGTGCAGATCTATTCGGTTACAGACACTTCATTGTTAAGATCTCAAAGACCACCAGGACTTGATCTAACAAAGATCACAATCCTAAATCACATATAATAAAAATCACTTCAGACCTCTAGTCTAGACTGAAGTGGCCTTCACATAACATTGATATATTGTGGGTATTCTGTATATAATTGGGACACAATTTCTTGTTTAGCACGTCTGTTTTTCCCCCTAGTTCAACAAAATAGTGAAATGGAGATTCCGCTTCTCACGAACATTATTTGTGACCAAAATTTGAAGGAGGTATGTAAGAAGCTTAAAGCCCTTTAATTCTCTTTTCTGTGAACAGTGTATTTATTGCTACAGTTATAGAATAACACCCTTAGTGATATTCAGCAGGCTTCCATTTTAGATGTGTAATTTAAGACATTCAGATAGTCTTCTCTCCATTACCAGATGCCTCTGAATGTTACTGCTGTTGATTTGTTGTGTTTGTGTTGTTTCTGCTGAGGCTGCTTTTTATTAATTTATCATTTTAATCTTAGTATTATGATTTGTGTTTGTTTTTGATCTAGAACCTCAGGTAATACTAAGCCTATTTTAAGTAGCTATGTGTGAACACTTCATTTTCAGAAACTGCAGGATGGTACTATCACAGTCGGTGAATTTTTCACACTCCTCCAAGTTGATGTGATACATTCTCCTCACCAGAGTTTGGTCTCACCCAAAGTAAGCATACAAACATACAGATCTACATTTAATAACATATGTAAAATATGTGTTTGGAAATTGTTACAAGACCCACACTATATATACTCATCAACTCTTTTTGACGTTTTGCTTCAGTTTCAGAATGAGCTTGGTGATGACTTGTACCATATGTTAACTGAGATCCATTAGTACTGTACGTGCGTTTGTAACTCTTCATGCAACCATTACAGTCAGCGACAGCTTCATTAACCATGAGCTTGGCCAAAGTTTGCTTTTGTCTTTCTTGCTCTTGGGCAATTTAAAAAGCCTCTATTCAGAACTCCTGCAGCAATAAAGACACACTTAACATCTGGCTGTAATTCTTCTATTTGAATATACATCATGTCTTTTGGACTCTTAAATATATGAAACCCTGTTGACTTTTATTTTCCTCTCTACAGCATGCTGTTAACACAGCTCTTACCCCGGAAGATGAGTTTTTGAACGAGTACGTTTACTGTCCCAAGTTCCAAATTTACAAAGAAGATTGCCAAGCTCTCTACCAGATAATAGAAGAGTAAGATACTTGCAAATTTTGTTCATAGAGTATATTTTTGATTACTGCAACTTCTGTGTGTTATCATTGATATAAGTTGATCTCTTCAATAGGGTTTGCATGACATTTTTGCTGGGAGTTTCACAAGCTCTTTTAAATGCAGGTATTGAAGTTGTCTATGCGCCTTACAAGTATGCTGGAGAATGCAGGCACTTATCTCTTCCATATTTAGCTTTTCCTCCCTCTCACCCTTTGCTCCCAATTTTCTGGGATACAGTGGCCATATCCATTATCTGAACCCTCTTATTAACTAGAAGAGGTTGAAATTGGTGATAAAAAAATCAGGCAACTATAAATGGTTATCTCCCCGCCCCCCCCAGTAGAAACGCTTCCACAATTGTTTTATTGTTTACGTATGTATACAGAAAAGAAGTGAATGAAGAAAGATGTGGCCTAGGTAGAGATGCTGGAGGATTTAATTTACTCTACCTTTTAGAACAAACTTGGCTGATTCACTATACTTCAAGAAATGCTCTAAGAAGCAACTGGATGTCATTCATTACATGTTGCCTCTTCCAGGGTAATTGTACAGAAAAAAGGAGGCTGTCAACATTGGCACCACCGTTACACTTACACACACACACCACTACAATTATTTAGGAATAATTATACACATATTAATATATGGCTGCTTCCTGGAGCATTTTCACAAATATTTTCAACCTGTGTAGAAGGAGCTGTATTTTCTAGCTGTTCTAATTAGAATAAAACTGAACAAGAAAAGAACTAAGAGGCATCCTTCAGTTCACCATATTACAAACCTAACATTTGTTTATTTACTAAAATGTTGTTTTTAGTTGTGAAAAAAATTAAGGTTGTTTTAAATTCACACAGAAATGGGGCTTAATGGTGAACATGTGCGGAACAGAAACGGTTGTGATAAAGTACATTACTTCCATCTCTAGATATAAGGTGCCTTTGATCATGATGAAGGGAGCCCAGCAGTTAAATATGATTGAAGGTCAAAGTGAGCTGAATTAAATGTAGGTGACATATGTGGCTAGGTAGTAGATCATCATGTTCTACAGCAGCTAAACCTCATTGAGGTATATTTTCCTGTAAGAGCTTGGAAGGTTTCATACAGATACCTCAAAAACCCTTAAGCAGTGAGAGCGAAAGGCTCATATGAGGTGCTGCTACGTCTGCATTAGGGCACCTCAGGCCCCTTTTTCAGAGGCACCTGAAAACCCTGCAGTGACCTCTGATACAGCAGAATTAGCTGGAGTCAGAAAAAGAAACAGAGGATATCTAAGTGACACAGATGGGGCTTTTTGGATCCTAGCCAATGTGTTCCCTCATTGGCTTGGATGCTGTCAACAGCATACTGTAGTCCAGTACACATAATCTCTAAATAGGACGAATCCTGTTGGATGAGACCAAAGGACTATCTAGTCCAGCATTCTGTTCATACAGTGCCTAGGAGTTGGCCACAAGTGGTGGCCACAAGTGGAGTTGTGAAATTATGTTCTCAGAAATGCTAGCTTAGAATAGTTTCAACATTAAAATCTATGAAGAGCAGAATATATTCCAGGCCAGAATCACAGGTCATTTGAAGGCGCTGCTTATTCTCTTAAGATAGAAGCACATCAGAATGCTAATATTATAATATATTAAAATGTTATATATAACCAGGGCTTTTTTTCAAGCTGGGACTCACTCGAATTCAGTTCTGGCACCTCTTAGGTGGGCACCATTGCCATTCTAAGAGAACAAGGGAGGCATTCATGGTGAGTTCTGGCACCTATTTTTCTAGAAAAATTGCACAATATAATTATTACAATCATTATTTATAATTAATATTTCAGATTAAAATTGTATGCCGAATACCAGCATAAACTTCTGGTGAATGTGAACAAAAGTCTATGGGGAGTAATGAGAACCTGTTCAGATGAGGAGGTATGGGCAGCTGACTCATTCTGAATAATTAAATGTTTGTTTGTTTGTTTGTTTGTTTGTTTGTTTGTTTGTTTGTTTAGAAAGCTACAGACTTCTAATGCATTTGCATCTCTCATGGCAGTCTGCAACAATTAAAAACAACAATCCCATACAGTGGTACTTCGGTTCTCAAACATAATCTGTTTAGGAAGTCTGTTCAACTTCCAAAACATTCGAAAACTGAGGCACAAAGGGCTGGCTTCAAGTTCAATTGGAAAATACGCAGCGAAAGCCGTTCAACTTCTGAGGTTAATTTGAAAACAAAAGCAATTACTTCCGGGTTTTTGGCGTTCGAAAACTGAAATGTTCGGCTTCTGAGACGCTCGAAAACTGAGGTACCACTGTAATAGAAATAAAACAATTTAAAGGCAGAAGCAGGCTTGGCAGATCAAAACAAAAAAAAATGAAAGACCAGTGATTGCCAAAAACTAAACTTTGTCAGTTAGTGGAAAACTGTAAGAGAAGGAGCCAATTGGATCTCACAGGAAGGGTATACCACAATTTGGGCATTGGAAGTTCCTCTTTTGTCTCATCAACCATACCGTGGTCACAAGTGGGACACAGTTAGTATAGGCCTCTGCAATACATTGTACAAAGTGGTCAGGCCAATGTAAGAGGAGATGGTTTCTCAGTGATGTTTCTAAATCAGTATAATAAAACACTGAAAAAATGGCTGTTTAGTTGGTGGAGGGAGGAATAATGCAATAAAATCTAGATCTGTGGCATTGAAGGGTACTTTTAATCAAATGGGGTGTTGTCTGCATAAACTAGTTTTGTGGTATATTCTTATACAAATAATGAGCACACACAGAGAGATATCTGTTGCAGACATGCACCAAGGGCCAAACTACACATTGCAAATGAAGGGTGAAGCAACTTACTCTAGGGACACCTCCATAAAGAACTTAAATTTGCAGCCGGTGAGCAGACAAGCAACACATGGGAGTGGGGAAAGAAGGTGTTTCCTGGGACAACTTGCCTTTGAGGTGCTTCCCACTGCCAACCAAGGTGCGCTTGAGAGGTTCTGTCATTAAAAAATAAAATAAAACTATAATGTTCACTTCCAGTTCTCTTATTCCGCTAATGTATTCCATTTCACTGCAGCTGAAACGCTTTGGAGAAGGGCTACGCGAAATGAAATCCAGTTTCCTCAAAAAGAGTAAAGTTCTTGCTCACAAAGGAAAAGCAACTTTATATAGAAAGCTGGTGCAAAATGGACAGGTAAATTTTTGAGGTAACCAGTGAGGTAATACTTGGCTACCTTTCCATGTATAGAGATGTCTTCCTTTTTGCATCCTGCCCTCCTTCCAATGAGTTCTGGGCATTCTACAAAGGACTGTCCTGATTTTTTCCTCACAACAACTATGAGATATGTTAGGCTGAGAGATGAGGGCTCTCCCAAGGTGAGCTGCATGCCTAAACAAGGATTTGAACCAAAGTCCAACACTGTAACTGCTGCATATGAGAGAGGTTGTCTTATTTCCTCATGTCCTTAAACACAGTTTGGTTCCTGGATTTAGCTTCACATTTATATTATGGAATAAAATGGGGAAATAGCATGGGTGCTAGAGGAGTTGTGTATCTTAGTTTGGAAAGTGGGGCAGCGGGAAAAGATAGTTTCAATGTAACTTTTAGCTCTATGGCTAAAACATATAATCCTGTTCGGTGGATCTGCTTGTTTGTAGTATTCTTTATAATTCTTATTTTTGTTTACTAATGTGGTATAGGTTTAGACTTTGAGATAATGGCTACATACTGAGCGGATTCCCTATTTGAACAAGACCCTGCATCAAAATATAGCAGTTCATCTAGTGTACTAAACTGTCTCTATTCTAGTCCTTCTCCCCTAGAAATCAGTAAAAAGGCATAGTCACTCTGGTGTTCTCTCCTGCGTATTTTAATCTGATACTGTAAACTGATTTCATTTGGGGGCCCAATAAAAAGTCTGGGATACCTACTGTTTTCATGTTGCTGAAACAGCTTCTGTGGGCCAGAGCCCATCCTTTGGTGGAAAGACCATTAGGAAATATATGTAATAGATAAATGTTTTTAAAAAACTAGTTTTATTTATTAGCCAGAAATGTCCTTTAATAATATTTGCTTGCTAAGATAGAATCTAGCCATTATATTACTACTAAAAATAAACAATTAACCACATTTTGACATTTAAGCTTCAGTGGGAAAAACTACAGTCAAGACTGGCTAAAGTAGAAGAACTTATAAAGGAAATGGACAGCTGTCTTCTTGCTCTGGAAACAGGTAGAGTCTCAAAAATTACTTTTCCAGTAAAGCCAATTTAAATTAATACCTTTGCAGACTAAAGAAAGCAAAAAATAAAAAACAACACCCCTGTTGACATAATTTGGGCATACTTTGGTGTCAAAAAGAAATCAACATTCTTTTATGCATTAGGATCATAGGACTAATAAGCTAAGAGCCATGCAGAGAAACAGGCTACGTAGAATAAGTCCTCTTAGACAATGAAAATTATTTGGCTTCTGAAGCTTTTGTGGATACAATCAGCATGTTATTAGTCTATATGTAAATGGATGAACTGCTTTTTTAGAAAATTGAGCCTCACAGGAAGTAAAATGTTCTGCTGTGGTGATTTACAATTTCCACTGGCCCTTGTTGTAGGATGTCTGTAGAAAGATAGCTATTATAGAGTTTTCTCTTTCTCACAATCCTGTCAAATCAGTGAGCATGACTTGAAACAATAAGTCTTTGAATGTTCTCCTCAACTGTGTACCAAAAGTGTAGCGCAAAGCCAATCTCAAACTACAAATATATTATTTTTTAGGAATACACCTGAAACTCAAAGTTGGGAGCATAATTTCAAAGGTTGTATTTCCTGCTAAGTTGACTGGAGTATATGTATAGCATTTTTGAAGTGAATGTTCTTATAAAACACTGCTTAATTTTAGAAACTTCTGCATTGGAAGAGTCTGAGCCAGATGTCAATGATGCCATGGCAGAATACAAGTCTAAGATGAGAGACACTGAGAAAGGTACTGGAGCTGTTTTGAGCTGCATGATACAGAAGGCTGTTAGGACACTGAAATTGCTGTGGCTGTGTTTATTATATAGTCTCCAGATCTTTTTTTACTAACCTGAGTTGTAGAATGCATCTTTCTGTCCTGCCATTGCTGACGGATATTTTCCTGTACTTGGGGCTGTTTTGACTGATCTACATGGAGGTTACTACATGTATGAGCTCTGGAAAGCTATGATTGGCTGCATCTTTTCAGTGCATGTACTGTACATGCTGTGAACGGAACACCTATAGGTTCTTCATATACAATATCCTGTATGTAGGATTCACTCAATCCTATACAAATTACATCTGTGTAGGAATTTCATTGAACACCATTTGGCCTTGGAGAATAAACCTAATAGCGTGTTGAGAACTAGACCTGCTTAATCAGACAGAATAAACAGTTAAAGCTTTTCATCAACATTCTGACTCTTATTTTCTCATTTCTTAGAGCTGGAAAATTACAGAGCCAAAGAGGAGGCACTTCAAAGGTAGAATTAAGCATTAGTGTTTGACATGTATTTATGTGTTTTGAAAAACTCTTGGCTTTAATACTATTCAGGGTATTTGGCAAATGCGTTGCACTTTTGTTGTACTCCTCCAGAGAGCAATCGAATATCAGAGATAAAAAGAAACAGAGAGCTTCTGAAATAAGCCATCTCAAGGAGTATGCAAACAGATGTCAGGAACTTATGAAAAAATACAAGTAAGTAAATTCAGTCAATTAATATCTTGCTGTGAAGGGAATCCGATTCAAGTAATATATTGTCTATGTTTACGTGACATCAGTGGTATCTTCTAATTTTGTCCCCATGAGCTGGCAATCAGAGTAGGGGTGGGAAAACCATGGTTTCCAGATGCTGGCCATGTTGGTTGGGGCTGATGAGAGTTGTAGTCCCAGAAAATCTTGAGGGCCGCAGGTTTCCTATCCTTGCTCTAGAGTATAACCAAATTGTTTCAACATTCCTCTTCACCTTCAAACAGAGGATGGCATGGTCCTTATAGGAATGAGGTTTACTGCTTGGGGGGAAATTTACAAGTAATTACATTTAACATCTATATTCTAAGTAAAAAGAACAAGTGGGCACACACACAAGCAGTTTTTATCTTCTGTAATGTTTTGTTCCGTATGGTCCATGTGGCTCAAAAAGATTAAGAAATGGGTCCCCAAATACATGTTTTGTTTAAAAGTGGGTCCTAGGTCTGAAAAGGTTGAAGGTACCTACTCTAGTCAACTTAGTGTGTGAGGGAGAAATATATAGGTTTTTCAACTTGCAAAGGGGACAGATGTTTTAGATAAAGTAGTTCATGACTACTGAACCGCAATTTAAAAAAAAAATTAAGGTAGTATTCTTACCAAGTGCCCAATGCACTATCCTTCCCGTTGTCTTTTGGTGAATTCATTTTTGATAACTTTTTCTGTTTGTAGCTTCTCTGAGTGGGCAATAAAAGAGTGGAATGATCACCAGGCTGTTTTCACCTTCCTTTATGATTCTGTTGAGCTCACTCTCAGCCTTGGGTGCCCTGTAGGTGAGTTGCAAAAATACTAAAAACTCTATCTGCTATATGAAGCACTATAAAAGCACCACTATCTACTCTAGATGTGTTTTTTGATATTTTACTCCTGCCAAGAGGTCCCAAAAGAACTCAGGTCTGCTCACAAACATCATAACATGATTTTTTTTAAAGCTAGAAAAGCACTAAAGCAGACTACAGGCAAAACTGATTAATTTGATAAGAACTGAGCTGTAAAAAAAATTGCATGCAGACTGAAAAGGCATTTGGTCTTCAATTTTATTGAGTGACATAAATTTAGCTCTTTAAAGTGGTAAACCAGTGTTTGGGCTATCTAGATTACAGGTATTTAATATTTATTACAATTATTCCTACAACTATTCAGGATCCAAATTCTTCCAAGCCAGTTTACAACATAACAAAATTAAAATATTAAAATAAATCTGATTCCTTCCCACAGTTGGTGGTAGATGACCATGTGAAGCACAGTAGGGAGTATAGTGTAGAAGGAACAGACAGACAGTGATCTCTTTGCTAGCTTCTGTCCCTTGTCTGAAATCCTCCATCCAGAGCTGCTGGTAGTGTAATCACCTTACAAAATTGTGTTACCATTCACTGCTCCAAATTTGGGTCAGTAACTTTGCCATGTCAATGTGCAGGAAACTTTCCTCAATGTTTCAGGAGTTTGCAGGGGTAGAGCTGGGATGGGAGTAGGACCTCATACATATGACCAGGGATGGCTAGGTCTCATCCTAGCAGTTTCCACTCTTGATGTCTGCAAAATCAGATCATCAAGCAGATCAGTGAGAAATGGAGCGTGGATCTTTGCACAAAAGTCTGCAGAATTGTGTCTTTGGTACAATAGTATTGTAAGCAGCAGGGAGGTACTTGCATGGTTGAATATTCCACTATACAAAAAAAGTATTCCTATATATACACATCTCCCCACACTGCATCCTGCACATCATGGCAAAGGCTGGACCCTGACATGCAGGTTTTTTGTGCAGAATGAATTAGTTATTTGAATTCTGACCTATATGAAGGACAGCCCAGACATAGGTTGACCATCTCAGTGAAAACTAGGCCTCATTCTGAAATAGAATCATAGAACTTATAGTATGTCTGCTTTCTCACAGATGGTGCTGTTTTCAGCAACAGGTTCTGCGTGAATATTGTTGGTGTGAACCTTGAATCACTGTTGGATGGTAAGGCTTTGAAGCATTTTGCTTCTGTGATATTTTTTTCTGGAAGGAGATCTGCATTTTCCAGCTTCTCTTGTGAAAAGTATTGCTAAACTTCATGAAAACATGAAAAGCAGTCTTCTGTGAAGAACCTTCCTTTTTCTTAGATAAAATTTTCAACTAACAATGAAATTCCCAGTGTGAAGCAAAAAGCAAAGCAATTAAATCAAACTAATTATCAAATGCCTTCAAGATTTTGAAGGCATTCAAAATCATCCATGAGTTGAATAGAATGAAATGACTTGAATATAACTTAAACCTAAAACAGAGTTTGTTGTTTCTTTGTTGTCCTATACAGAAGCAAAGGCTTTGCCATCTTCAAAACTAGTGCATAGACTCATCTTCCAGTTTATAAATAGTCAGAGTTCATTGAAGGAAAAATGTTCAACAGTGCATCATCTTTATCAGGTAACTTAACAATGAAAAGCAAAAAGGGTTTTTTAAAAATGTTGCTATAATTTGTTCTATGCTGCTTTTATTGCTTGGAAGAGTCAACAAAGAAGATCCAGAAGTACAGGAAAGTCTATACATTTTGGAGCAATTCTAGGTGGAAGTAGCTTCCCAGCAGAACTTTTTCACCTGCTTTAGTGACACTGTAGTGACACTTAATGGAGGCTATGAAGAATGAATGGAATTCAGCATCACACTCTTCCAATCATTGCAGCTTGCCAGATGGAACAATCCCCCCCACCCCCTGCCCACTCCTCACCCTGTGTGCAGTTCTGGGAGTTCTCCCAACCCCTCCCCACAAGCCAATTGGGGAGGAAGAAGGGGGAAGCCCTGTTGTGTAAGCAGAAGTCCTTGCAGAGTTTCCACTGATAAGGCTGATTAGGTGAATCCCGCCCAAAGAATTTGTGCTGTGATTTGCATTATTGTTTTTCTGCATTTGATGGCCCTTTTCTATGGTAGAAAAGCAATTTATAAAGTGATTACATTGAGTGTAACTTTAAAAGTATAGGAATGCAAATAAATGACAAAATTATAGAATAGGTAAAAGTCAATGGTCTAGTTCAGGGGTAGGCAACCTAAGGCCTGGGGGCCATATGCAGCCCAATCACCTTCTCAATCCGGCCTGCGTATGGTCCAGGAATCGGTGTGTTTTTACATGAGTAGAATGTGTCCTTTTATTTAAAATGCATCTCTGGGTTATTTGTGGGGCATAGGAATTTGTTCATCCCCCCCCCCCCCCAAAAAAAATAGTCTGGCCCACCACATGGTCTGAGGGACGGTGGACTGGCCCACGGCTGGAAAAGGTTGCTGACCCCTGGTCTAGTTAATGTTGCTTTGTGTCCGGAGAAGGTTTGCACACATCCTCCTACTTGCTGTGAAGAAAATGTAGAAGAGGAGTGGCATACCTTTCTTCCCATCCTATCTCAGGAAATCTGGGACCTAAGTTGTCATCATTACTTGCTCTAATTCTCGAATCAGGTGCTGCGTGACATTTCTCTTGTGGTGAGTCGTTGTGAACTTCTAGGAGAAGAGATCGAGTATCTAAACAGATGGGGTGGAAAATTCAATCTGCTGAAGACAGATGTGAACGATACAAAGTAAATGCTTAACAAAGTCTATTCTAGTCCTCTAAATGTATTTGTTTGGTGTGCAAGTTAGGATTGGGGTAAAAGTTAAGATTGGTAGAGGGTGTGTTACAATCCTTCCAAAATCTTTCTGGCCAGAATTTAATATTTATAGCACAAAATTCTGGTGTGTTTCACCTCAGCAGGATTTTAAAAAGACGTTTCCCCCTATATAGTACTCTAGATAGCAAGCAAGGAATGAAGTATCTTAAAATATACAGTACAGTGGTACCTCTGGTTGTGAACGGGATCTGTTTCGGAGGCCTGTTCGCAACATGAGCAGAACGCAACCGGCAGCGGCACATCTGCGCACGCGCAGGTTACAATTCGCTGCGTATGTGTGAGCGGCAAAACCCGGAAGTAACCCTTTCCAGTACTTCCGGGTCACCGTGAGACGCAACCTGAAAAAACGTATCATGAAGCAAACGTAAGGTATGACTATTAAAAATGCATTGCATGAACAGCAGTTCAGCTAAAACATGATAAATAAAAGAGCAGAACCAAATTAAAGCATTGTACTTTCAGAGCGAAAGATGAAACAAAACCAAGTTAAAGCAACTTCTAAACAAAAAAGAGCCTTGTCAAAACAAGACAGACTGTCTGGCACCTAAAAGATAACAAGAAAGAGCACTGAGTGGATCTCCCTGACAGGGGCTCCTGCAGGCTGGCTGTAATCATAAAAGGATCCTCTTTGTAGTAGCTAGCCACCTAATATCAGAGGGCAAGGGTACCCAGAAAATGGCCTTTAATGAAGGTAGATTCACTGAGGGAGCAAACAGTCATCCAGGTGGCTTGGACTAGGTGTTTTAGGCCTTTATAAGTTAAAACCCAGCTGCTTCAGTTGTCCTTGGCACCAAGCAGGGGCTCTATGATGGTCTTTAAGAGCTGATGTAATGTTTGCAATGGAAGGTCCCTGTTAACAATCTAGCCGCTGTATTCTGGACCACTTTTCAAAGTCAGCCTGAATTGTTACTAATCAAGACTGGATTTTTATTGAAGCATAGGTAGATAGTAAGGTCATTTTATTCCTGGAGGAGGCACAGTCATAATATGGAATTGGAAAAAGGAAGTCAAAGGCAAAACTATCACATTGTGATCCCAACAGCAAAGCTGGACTCAAATACTGTATATCCCTGAGTTGCCAACCTGATCATTAAGGGGGGTGCAATTCATCCAGTACAAGCTGAATGCCTCCACCATGGTCCATTCCATCTACCCACAGTACCTCAAACCTGTCTGCTTTCAGTGTCAGTTTATTAGCTCACTGTGCCTTTTAGATAACTGTTTAAATATCAGTGCATCACCTAGATTTGATGAAAGGGAAAAATAGATCATGAATATCATGCAAACTGATTACCTCTCCCAACTGTTCCATGTAGAATACTTAAGTGTGCATGCACACGAAAGCTTATACCCAGAACAAACTTAGTTGGTCTCTAAGGTTCTACTGGACAATTTATTTATTTATTTTAACATTCAACAGTTACTGAGGCATAACACAAATAATTCTTTGGACAGTGGAACCTCGTGTTACGGACGGAATCCGTTCTGGAGGCCCGTCCGTAACACGGAACTGACGCAAGCCGAAGTGCCACGTCGGCGCACGTGCACAGTGCGATTTAGTGCTTCTGCGCATGCGCGAGTGGCGAAACCTGGAAGTAACCTGTTCCGGTACTTCTGGGTTGCTGCAGGACGCAACACAAAAACACGTAACCTGAAGCGGACGCAACATGAGGTATGACTGTATCTATATTTTGTTTTCTACATAGAGTGAAGCTCTTATTCTCCAGTTCTGTATCATTTGCAAAGTTTGAAGTTGAACTGTCTTTATCTGCCAGCTATCCTGCGTCCCCAATAGCTTTCACCATTCCAAAATGCACCGGCAACCTTAAGTAAGTAAAATAAAACAGAAAGTGTGAGAGCAATAATTTTTACTATAGTTTTGTGGGAAGGTTTTCATTTACAGTGGTGCCTCGCAAGACGAAATTAATTCGTTCCGCGAGTTTTGTCGTCTTGCGATTTTTTTCGTCTTGTGAAGCACGGTGTCGGGAAAGTTTTGGAAAAGCTTCAAAAATCACCAAAGTCTTTAAAAACCTCAAAAAGGCTATCACACCGCGTTCTATGAGTTGCTCCTCGGAGTCAAGTCGCAACTGTATTTACGGTGTTTAGAATCAGGAAACACACTTGCAAGACGTTTCCTTCTTGCGAAGCAAGCCCATAGGGAAAATCGTCTTGCGAAGCAGCTCAAAAAACAAAAAACCCTTTCGTCTAGCGAGTTTTTCGTCTTGCGAGGCATTTGTCTTGCGGGGCACCACTGTATTTGATCCTCATATGTGTGCATTTTCTCTTCACAGCCAAGAGGAAATTTCTGTTGTTTTATCCAGTGTTCCAGTGGGAGCCAACTACTTGAAGAGAATGGTCAATCAGATTCATCGTAATCTGCTCCAGGGTCCTTCAATCCAAAGATAGCAGAGCAGCGGAGGGGGGGGGGTGGAATGAGCAATCATTCAGTAGTCGAATCTTTGCTTATTTTCTTAGTAAGGATCACCACTTAGTCCTTTCTGCCTACTGAAAAGTATATAGCTAAGGGATATTGCATAGTTCTGTTGTTTTCTAGCACTTCTTAAGGCTACTCTTAATTTCTGATAAATTAATTTTACTGCAAAACTGATGTTGCAATTCTGCTGCAGTCGTTAGTGCAATTTCATAGGTCAAGTAACTGCAGTGATGTGTATCTTCCAAAGCCTACATGTGTATTAATGGCTAGCAGTAGCTTTTGACCCCTACAAAAATAAAGAAGTTCTATTTTTAGAAAGTTGCCCCAAGATTGATTAATTACAACTATAAAAATTAAAACATTGCACATAGAAAAGTAGGTGTGCCATCCAATGTTTTGGACTTGTAATGAAGTGAGTACTGGTGCATTCATGCTTCTGTTGACTGAATTATTTGGCTTTAGAGATGTCTGCCATCATCACTAATCACTAGTCCAGTCTGACTGTTAAGACTTTTAAATTATTCAGATAGATGTGGTTGCATCTCATATCTACAAAGCTTATATTATTATAATAAGGCATCCATATTTTCTCCACTGTGATCTCTAGTTGCTGGACGATGTATATATATGTGTAAAGTATAGCATTTTTAATGCTTTTTGAATTGTTTAGTTTTTTTTAATTTTGTTACTTTTTGTTAATGAGGGAAGTATAATAAACCCACCTACACTAAAAAAAATTGTCTTAGTGTTGATTTGTAAGTTAAAGTAATGCTGTAGCCTTACTGGAGTTCACCGATTGGGTCTGCGTTGCTCCCGGACAGGAGGAAGGAAGTCAAATGACAGCGAGGGTTGGTTCAGAGAAAGAGTTCTTTATTTCTGCTCTCCGGAACAGCAGAAAGGCACCTGCGTGGTCAGTCCACAGCAAGTCCAAAGAAATGAGAAATTTCATGCAGTATATATATATCCAGGCACCCTCTCCCTCCTTCCCCAGGAATCCAACCACGTCAGCCTATACACGCAGGTTGACATCACATATATTCCTGCTCTGGTATTCTTAACCATAAAAGGGTATTCCTTCCTGTACTTCTGACCATAAAAGGGTATTCCTGTTCCTACTCTCATCTTGGAGCAAGAGGTCACCAACTCCAAGAACACACACTGGCGCTGTTCCTGGACTAGGTCTGTGCGTCAGGACATAAGATAAGACCTAGACATGTCATCCCTACTCCACTGGAACAGCCAAGGTCATCCCTTGCCGTGACTGATAAAGGAGAGAGTGTGTTTATACAGCTGTGTTGTTATGCATTTGCTCAACAGCTCAAGTTTATGCATGCTAAGAAGAAAAGGGGGGTTCTGAGTTGGTTTTAAACTGACTGCACAGAAACCCATTCCTTCAATGCTGCCAACACTTCCTCTAAATCCACTATTTACTTTGGGGGGGGTGTTTGTTTTAAATCCTTTAAACTGTTTGGACGATTTTGTTTTTGCTGTTTGTCTTTCCTCTCCTTCAAAAATGGTTTCATATCAAAAGACAGAAAAAACAAATTACTCATTAGAAAACATCAATGGAATAAATGCAAAATATTACACATTCAGTTCTAAGAAGATTGTAAGTTATATTAATCATGGTATTGTGCTCATTTCTCTCTGCTTTTCCTTTCTATAATGTAGTGGTTGTGGTAAAATAACTTGTTTTGACCACCTATTCCTTGTTTAACTTTCTAGAACTGTTCCAGAAAAATTCTGAATATTTTGGATGAAAGGATTCATTCTACTCTTCCTTTCAATTTAATAACCTCACAAAATAAGATGATAAATAAACGTTATTTCACAGACAAGATGAGGCCCAAAGTGTATGCTTAAAAGAACAGCATACACCATTTTATACTGCCCATTAACAATTAGGTATCTGAACACCATAAACCAGACTAGCAACCACTTGCTCAAGCTCCTTGCTCAGAAAGGAGATGTTAGCAACCAGCTATCATTTATATTTTCTGGGTCCAGCTTAGGTTTTTTTAGGAGTGCTTAATTACCATTTTGTTTAAGGAGGTTAACACCACTTCTCTGAAGGAGGTGCCTACAACTCTTGGCCAGACATCCCCTTCTTATTAGATGAAATAAGCTGCAAAGGGCTGGTTTTTGACAGGTGGTCAGTGTGAGATTTGACCATCTGGAGCTGGTACAGGCTCGTCTTATCTTGAGCCCAAGCAGAGCGTAGTCCCGCAACGAAAGGATAAGCAGGTAAACGTGCTACATGCTGAAGTTTATTTACAAGCTATGCTGAGAGCATACAAACATACATCTTGCCTCTGTGAGAGCAGAGAAGCAACTCCCGTCTCTAACAAATGACAGAACACTGAAAAACAGGAAACCAGTGTATGTCACATCCAGTCTCCCATTCCCGTGGGAACCCAACAGTAACTTGGACTGTGGAATGCAAAACAATGTCTTGTGACATGCATTCGCTGCTCAGTGAGGAAGCAGAAACCAACAGTCAGCTGGTGTTTGCCAAGCACCTTGTCCACATCCTTGGTCCTCAGCAACTGAAAGTTGCCCTGTTGTTGCTCTGTACACCTCTACTAGCACAAAGGCATTAATTGTGGAGTCCAAGTCATGACTGTTCCAGCTGACAATCAACTGAGGCTGCAAAACCAAAGAGAAGCAGACCAGCCTCTGTAACCAGCTAGGGATCACTGGAATATTACACTGCTTGCCTCCCAGAGACAAGCCAGAGCAACTGCACCTTCTGGTCCTCTGCTTTCTTGACTACTGAGCCTTGCTGGGGTTGCACTGGGCTGAGCAAATGAAGGGTTCCTGGGTCCGCCTCATTAATTTCTCCATCTATCAAATTTACTCTTATCAGTACCAATCAGTAATCACTTGATAACATTGATTAATGAAAGTAGAACAGATATCTCATTGCTTCAGTTCATTTTTAAAGAAGTTTGCAGTTGATTAATAATTGCCTCAAGTTAGCACTATGCTGTTTTAAAAGTTCCCCAACCTGTAGCTGCTTTTTCAGTGCTGTAGTGGCTGTTCTACATAGTTAGCATTTTCTGACGAAACAATTACTATTGGTAGAAGAGCCATGTAGAATTGAATAAAGCAAACACCAACCACCTTAGGCCCATGGGTTCACTGGGATTTTTGAGTGAGTGCTCTTGGTACCACCTCCTCTGGTTCCTTGTGTCACTCCCATGGATCAGCCCCCTACTCGGAAGGTAGAGAGTACATGCACACACTTTTGCACAGATCCCTTAGGAAAGCAAATGTCATTGGGAGGGCCTTAGAGGCTTCTTGTGCACCCGGGTAAGACATAAAGGGTTCCTATGGGGGTTACATGGGACGCGGATGGCGCTGTGGGTAAAACCTCAGCACCTAGGACTTGCCGATCGTCAGGTCGGCGGTTCAAATCCCCGCAGCGGGGTGTGCTCCCGTTGCTCGGTCCCAGCTCCTGCCAACCTAGCAGTTCGAAAGCACCCCCGGGCGCAAGTAGATAAATAGGGACCGCTTACTAGCGGGAAGGTAAACGGCGTTTCCGTGTGCAGCTTGTCACACTGGCCACGTGACCCGGAAGTGTCTTCGGACAGCGCTGGCCCCCGGCCTCTTAAGCGAGATGGGTGCGCAACCCCAGAGTCGGACATGACTGGCCCGTACGGGCAGGGGTACCTTTACCTTATGGGGGTTACATGGGACTAGGAAACCTACTGTTTTGATATTATGGCTGTGCTTCACCGTCAGAGGGCACTCCTGCTGCAAGTTTTTGACAGCTTTCAGATCCCCATTTGTTTTACTGGCTAATTAAAATGGAAAGTTGCTGGTTGGAACTGTAGTGTATATTTGTTTATTAGAGTAGCCCATTGCATGTGCTTGGCCATCTGTTCCAGATAATAGCAGGGTGGATTGGTTTTAAATTGGCAGTTTAAAAAAATCCAATGTAAATCAAGTTTCCCATTAATATCTCTCTATATATACCCTCACAGCAAAATTTGGATCTCACAGCAATCCAGCCACCATTGTTGTGGTCAGCTGGCAAGAGGCGATCAGGATGAATGTTGGCATCCATCTGTCTGGAAAGACAATGGAGTGTGCCTCTGGGGGTGAAGTCAAGCTGCTGTATTAGCAGCACCGAAGTGACTTCCCCAGGGTGCAAGCCTGGGCAGTGCATATGGAGGTCCTGGGCTGCTCATGCAAGACCCCCATTCTCAGCCTGTCTTGACATGCAGGGAAGTCTAACTGAGGTTTTGATACCCATTGGCTACTCTCACCTGGTTTAGCTGGCCAGTCGAAGCCATTCTGAGGTGTGGGTGCTATCTATCCCATGCTGACAGCATTTAGGACACACATCTGCATCTAGATGAATGCAGGGTGGGGACCAAAGGTGGACAGACTCATAGGAGCCAACTCCTAGGGGCCGAGGGGTCTTTGCCCCACAATAAAAAATATCAGAGGGAGCTGGGCCTCCCAACGTTGACGGGCATTGCCATTCAAATCATAGCTGTTAACGTTTCCCTTTTTTAAAGGGAAATTCCCTTATTCCGAATAGGATTCCTCGCAAGAAAGGGGAAAAGTTGACAGCTATGATTCAAATGGTGTGCATGCACTGCATCGTGTTATTATGTAGGGCAGGGCTTACCTCCCACCCCCCATATTTTGTTCAAGTTGGCACTCCTGGACAAATTACCCCAGAACACCCCATATACTATATTTTAAAGCCACATGTGCGCGCATGCGCCTGTGCGTCAACATTCCAAGAGTGAATTGTGTGAGGAGAAACGACCAGGGGTTGCATTTGGGTTTCAAGTTCCTCTCTTCCCCAATATGTGTTCCGCAGATGCTGCCACCGAGTCCAAACCTCTTCAGCCTGCTGTGAATACAAGGTCTAAACTACTACCCTGAGTGGACCGCCGCCCCGTCCCTCGAAATCTACCAACGCCCCAGATGTTGTTGGACTACAACTCCCATCATCCCTGAGCTCTGGCCTTGCTAGCTAGGGGTGATGGCAGTAGTAGTTCAAGAACATCCGGCGACCCACAGGTTGAGAAAGGCTGCCTCAGAACTTTTGAAGGGAGCGGGGCGTGGCTTAAGAGGAAGGCACGCGTAGGCCCCGCCCCGCTACAATCCGCTAACGAGCCCCAGCCAAGGGAAAGGGAGCGTGCGCGCTGGAGGCCTCCGCCCTTCCGAGACGTCGCTGCGCGCGTGCGCGTCGGTTGCGTCACGCAGTGGCGGGCTCGTCTGAATCCGGAACGGGGACGGAGGACCGGAGTGTGCGAGCGGAGGTCAGTCCGTGGGCCGCTCCTCTCGTCCTCATCCCGTTCGCCCTCGCGGGACGTGGAAACGGCCTTTCTCCGCCATCCCCCCTCCGAATGGCGTCCGTCGTTGTTGGGTCACTGAAAGGCCCAGGGAGCGGGTTGAGAGTTGGGCTCGGGCTTCCCGGCCTACCTGAGAGAGAGGGAGAGACTAAGGAATAAGGAGCTGCTCGCGAGGCCTCCTGTTCTGGCGGCCTCCGTATGCTTTTGCCTCTGCTGTTTGCTTATTGCGGTTTATACGCCGCCTTTCTTCCCCGAGCAGCCCAGGGAAAGCGCAGTTAACAAAGCAAAAACACGCTGAAACGATTTAGGCGCTCTAAAAACAGAGGCAGGGTTAAAAACAAACACGCGAAAGCAGATACAGTTGAAAACTGTTACGTGGCAGTTCGCCAATAAAATGTGAATACAAAATGGGGGGAGGTGGGTTAAGCGCAAGCCCACTCCAAAGCGAGTGGGCGAACCTATCCGGTGTTACAGTAGTGGTGGTAGCCTCCTGTGTGACCGTAAGGTTGTAGCAGTAAGATGAAATCGTGGTTTACAAAAAAATTACATCACTGAAGTTGCATAACTCCAGCATTAGGTACTTCCTGTTTTGATAGGAGCATTGACTGATGTGCGCCATGGCCATGCAATTGCAACGTGAGGAAGATGAAAGTCTGGAAACATCAACAGAGGAGGGACGCTTTGGTCCTCAGCCCATTTCGCGGCTAGAGGTATGTGACCAATGGGGAACTTAAGGTTATAAAATGCACGCTTGTGATTAAATGTCTAAAGTGGCCCAAACTTTCTGTAACTGAATCTTTAAAATGTTGAAGTATAATATTCATTGCAATTGCTCATATCATTTTTAATAAAATATACACAGGCACAGATATACACAGCAATATGTACCTCAGAGACCTGCTTTTTGCCAGTGACAGCTTTATTAAAACTTTACTGAAAGTTGTTTATCTGATCAGTCTATGAAGGAATGAAAATATAGCAATTTTAAAATCAATTGTATACAACTCTAAAATGTAATGTTTTTAGAAGCAATATTTGCATGAAGTGAGATCGTTAACACTTAAAGCAGAACCCCATGTGTGTCTACCGCACCTGTTGAGTTCAATGCTACTTACTGCCAGAGAAGTACAAAATTATGTTAAAATGTGATAAGCTGCAACTGAAGTGATTTATTCAAGAATCTAATGTTTCATACTGAATAATATATATTGTCTTGTATAGCAATGTGGTATTAATGCAAATGATGTGAAGAAGTTAGAAGAAGCTGGATTTCACACAGTTGAAGCTGTCGCCTATGCACCAAAGAAGGAATTGCTCAATATTAAAGGCATAAGTGAAGCTAAAGCAGATAAAATCCTGGTAATTATACTTAACGCTGTTATATATATATATATATATTGTTTTCAAGAGGCTATGGGAATACAATGCTCTTTGAAAGTTTTTCAAGTAAGAGATGAATGATACTTTTTCTATGTTTTATTATAGTATAGTTTGGAGTAAACAGTCTTAGCAACAAAAAGAGTGGGAGTTTTAATATAGGGATGCAGGTGTTTATTACTCAGTCTTTTGATCTTATCGTGTTTCTCAGGCAGAAGCAGCAAAATTGGTACCAATGGGATTCACCACAGCTACAGAGTTTCACCAGCAGAGGTCAGAGATCATTCAAATCACAACTGGGTCCAAAGAACTTGATAAGCTGCTTCAAGGTATATATATTGATTTTTTTAACATAATTTTATCACACATTATAAATACAAAACCAAATGTGGAATAGTTACTATAGGCATACATATAAAATGCATATTTAAGTGTTCATGGGCTGCCTTTCAGGGCACAGCCTTCATAAGTTGGTGTAGAGAGCTAGCTAATATATATAAAGGTACATTATAAAGATCATAACAAACACTCAGGCAGCAGCTTATAAAGTAAGATATGCACATAGCTCACTTACATAGCTTCAAAGTGCTATGTAGGCTGGATCCTTATAGACACTTCACCTGAGAGTATGTCCTGTTGAAATCAATTGAGCTTCTGAGTAAACATGCCTCCTTAAATACTAGGGCTATCTGTATCCCTGCTTCACAAAACATTTTTAATTTGTTCATCATACATCACATTCCATAGCTGGGAAACCAGTTCAAAAATAATTTCAACAGTAACTTCACAAAGAAATGTACATCTAGTTGTTGAATAGTACTAAATACTTTTTCTTCCCATTTTATTATTAAAAAGTGGCTGTTATATAATTTACTTGTCATTTAAGAACTTTAATCTAAATTCTGTCCTCAAGAGTTCTGTGATACTCTGATATCTGCTGTTTATATGATTATTGATAAGAATCTGAAGTATGTTGCATTTCTTTCTTGTAAAGGAGGAATAGAAACTGGGTCTATTACAGAGATGTTTGGGGAATTCCGCACGGGAAAGACTCAGTTGTGTCTCACACTGGCAGTAACCTGCCAGGTAAGTGGCTTACATAAATACTGGACAAAAAAATTAAACTATCCCCCCTTGTTTCATGCATTTTTTAAGGAATTGAAGTATAATTTGCACGATTAGAATGCATGCGATCTTGTGATACTGAAGGCTGAGCTGGACATTTAGCAGACCTAGATTTGAAACTTTAGGCACCCCTGAGCTAAGGCACCCCTGCAAAGAGATGGGAGGAAGTGCAGTCTGCAGAAAGAGAATGCTTGATTAACTCTTCTTAAAACGTCTGTTCACTGTGATGTGGCAAATGCATCCAGCACACTTTTAGATAAAGTAGCTAATAGGAATGAGGATTATAGGGGGGGGGGTTCCAGGGTGCAAAACATACCCTTCCTCACTTCCTTGCAGTGTTTCCTAATCACAGAAACTTCCAGGTCTTGATCTTTCTTCAAATGGATAGTTCAGCTTTCAACTTCCAGGATAAGCACACCCTAACACTATTCCTATCCCCTGGAGATGATACTTCTCAAATAAGGGTTGTGGAGCAGGGCTTCTTAACCAATTTTAATCAGTGTGTGAGTTTACCTGGTTAAGTCTGTCCCATAAGATTTGTTAAATAACTTATTTAAGGTTGAAAATTGACTGTTCATATGTTGGGTATATTTTTTATTTGCAGCTTTGCCATCCTCTAATGTTTCCCTTAGACTTGCCTCTCATATGCGTTCATCTTCTAATATACCTTTTTCCTCACTATCTTTCTCACTGTCCTTGTAAAAAAATTAAAAAAATCTGAGCATTGCTGGCAAAATCACTAGTGTTTACTTTTGTCTCCCAGATGTTCTAGAATTGCAAACATTTTTTTTCCCTGTTCCTGCATGATCCTGAGATAATACTTTAATTAAACATATGAAGTTGTATGCACATTATAGAAAGATGCTCTTAGGTTTAAGTTTCCCAGAGATCAAAACGTTTTTGTGACTAATTGGATTCCCACCCTTTTTTTGTTAGCTCCCTGTTGATCGAGGCGGTGCTGAAGGGAAGGCCATGTACATTGACACAGAGGGCACATTTCGTCCAGAGCGATTGCTTGCTGTGGCTGAGAGGTCTGTTGTTGGAATAATTGGTGTTGCATCCAGAGTTCTGTAGAAGATTGTATAACAATACTGCCATCTACTGACAGTTGATGAAATAAATGCATGGTACTCAGTATTAAGTCCATAGTGATCTTGATTTATTGTTAAACATTTCCCACTGAAAGTGACATATCATTTGCTCGAGTCAAACCTGTTTAATAGATTTTTATTCCATTTTTTAGATGAATCTCCTCACAAAGGGACAAGCATAACACTAACAATACTAAAGCACAATTTAAAACTTTTATAACACCTCAGAACATTACAAATAGCCACTACATTAAAACCACAGTCTACCCAGCACAGTCATAGAAACAGAATTAATTAGATTAAATGTGAGAATATGCTATTTGAAAAAGAAAACTATTTGAAAAGTCACACAGATTTGGCTACATGCTTCTACAAAAATGGACTTGGAGAAGTGATAGTTACATTAATTAACATGATAGTTACATTGCTTCCTGGGCAAACTTGAAAAGCTTGAATTTTCTTTAAAGGGGATTGAATAAAAGTGCACATTTGTAAGCTTGAATGCAACAAAGAGAAATCTGACAAAATTATCTCTGGTACGTCACTTGCAGAGAGCAGCAGGAAGGGTAATAAAGAAAAGCTGTTCAATATACAGTGGTACCTCAGGTTACATATGCTTCAGGTTACAGACTCGGCTAACCCAGAAATAGTGCTTCAGGTTAAGAACTTTGCTTCAGGATGAGAACAGAAATCGGGCTCTGGCGACGCGGCAGCAGCAGGAGGCCCCATTAGCTAAAGTGGTGCTTCAGGTTAAGAACAGTTTCAGGTTAAGAATGGACCTCCGGAACAAATTAAGTACTTAACCTGAGGTACCACTGTAAATGCAACGTATAACATGGAAGTACTTTTTTTAAAAGCAAAGTTTGCTTTATTAAGAGTTCTTTTTATCCAAAGTACAATATGGTGGAAATGGTGTGGGGGAGAAGTAGCAATAGATACTCTTTGTCAAGCAAGCTTTGATTAGATTTATTTAAAGGTGTCTTATAATGCCTCCCACTTTGTTACACAGAATCACATTCTCTTTTGTTTGGTTTATTTTCTAGGTATGGCTTATCTGGCAGTGATGTGCTTGATAATGTGGCATATGCACGAGGATTTAACACAGACCATCAGACCCAGCTTCTTTACCAAGCATCTGCTATGATGACTGAATCAAGGTAACCTCAATAGAGGGGACTTTATTCTTTAAGAAAGTGTATCTACTAAGCCCAACTCCAACTGACAGAGCAGACGAATACCATGGTAAAGGCAATGACCAATTGACTTGCAACTGCACACATCGTGGCAACCTGGATATGGGCAGAAGAGGGGGTGGGGTGGGCTTATGTGACCTGCCAACACACACAGGGCTCAGGAATGTAACCCCCATTCAAATTCACCATTGCCTGTAGTATCAGAAGCTGCTGATTGGGGCTGAACTAATAGTGTTGAGTAGAACTAATAGAATTGCACTCTCACCCTCCAGATGCAGACCTTAGTCATGTACCAGAGGCACTCAAGGTTGTGTTTCTATTTTAAAACAGGGTAGGGTCCGGACTAGAATGGGTCTAAGGCAGAGGTTTTCAACCTTTTTGAGTCCATGGCTCCCTTGACCAACTACATTTGTTCTGTGTCACCCCTGTGGGGCTCAGGAGCCCACTTATATCAACCCTTGCCTGCAGAGCTAGCAGACCCTCACCGCTTTTCAAACACCCTCTCTTGTGGAGTGTTGCCTCAGCCTCCTCTCTTGTCCCCTCTCCTTGGGAGTCCTCCGGGCAGTCACTGCTGCCCCCAAGAGAGGTGCTTCCTCATCACTGCCCCACAGGGGCTTGGGACTTGTCTGTCCATTCCCAACAGCAAGGGCTGGCGGACTGGCTGGCTGGGCTCCCTAGTCTGCTTGCTTACTCCGAGACCACCTCAGCTCCTGGCAACCAGCACCCCGACCAGCCCCAGAGGCACCATTCACCTGGGGAGCTTGTAGCCAGGGCTGCTTCAACAAACAGTTGTGCAAGCCTTTGGGAGGCAGAGACGCGACAGGGCATCAGAGGGAAGGAAAGAGGGACTGAGGCCATTGTTACCCACAGCACCCCTGACCATCATTCAAGGCATCCCAAGGTGCAGTGGCACACTGGTTGAAAACCACTGGTCTAAGAAATCAGTTGAGGACACTCTGGAACAGCATAGAAAGTAGTACTGGGGGCTGCATGAGGAAAGGGGGAGAATTGGCAAACCAATTTTCTTCACAAATGAAAGAATGTGTATTATTCAAAAACAAGGTTAACTGGCAAACAAAACTTTTAGAATAACTAAGAATCAAAGCATGGGACGCGGGTGGCGCTGTGGGTTAAACCACAGAGCCTAGGACTTGCCAATCAGAAGGTCGGCAGTTCGAATCCCCGCAATGGGGTGAGCTCCCGTTGCTCGGTCCCTGCTCCTGCCAACCTAGCAGTTCGAGAACACGTCAAAGTGCAAGTAGATAAATAGGTACCGCTCCGGCGGGAAGGTAAACGGTGTTTCCGTGCACTGCTCTGGTTCGCCAGAAGCAGCTCAGTCATGCTGGCCACATGGCCCAGAAGCTGTACACCGGCTCCCTCGGCCAATAAAGCGAGATGAGCGCCGCAACCCCAGAGTCGGCCACGACTGGACGTAATGGTCAGGGGTCCCTTTACCTTTAAGAACCAAAGCAGTTTCTATTAAATAAGATTATTGAAGGTATACCTTGGTGGAGACACACGGTTATTGAACTCCCTCTCCCTAAAATGGAGTTTCACCAGTGTTCTCCTGCTCTGCCCCCATTTTTCTTTGACATATATAACTGCATCTATTTTTTAAGCTGGCTTTTAAGATCTGATCTGCAGTTCTTCTTAAACCTAGTGTATTTGTTCTATTTTTATTGCTCTGATTTATTATTATTGTTTCCGTTTTTAACTAAATGATTTTTACTCTGGTTTTATTGTATTTTTGTTGTAAGATGCTTTAGATATAAATAGAAGAGCTGAGTTTGCATCAAATAAGGGTAAATACAAAGTTAGAAAGCTGTTTTTATGGGGGGAATATTTAATAACACTTACATTTGCTTTCTAAATAACTATTTTAACTAAGTGGCTCACTTGCGCAAAAAACCTCTTCTCATGCAAATGTGATTCCCCTTACCCACCCCCAGTCACCACCTCACCTTTTCCAGAGGGTTGGGGGACTCAGAAGCAAATTGCTGGGGGAGGAAGAGGAAGTCCCAAAACATCCATTAGTGTGGCACTGGATCTTACAGAACTTACTGTATTTAGTTAAAATAGTTCTTTAGAACGTTGCCAGCTGATTTGTCAGTAAGCCACATTCTAAGCAGCAAAATAGATAACACCCCTTACTACCACTGACAAGATGAATTCTAAGTTGGCCATTTCCTTCTCTCCCAAATATTTCATGGAACAATGATACCTGTTTTACAGAAAGAAAACTACAGGTATTGATCCTGATATTGCTTAGCCAATTACAAGAACTTGTTTCATCTTTTATAGTTTTAAAGTAGTATTACCATAAGGGAAGATGATGGATTATCATCAGTAAGAATTTCTGCTAAACACTAAGGTTTTAGAATTTAGTGAATACAAAGAGAGAAAACAGGATGGCATTTGAGCTTGAGTTTGTTTCAACCAAATATGATTTTAGGTAAAGATTGGTTGGTTACAGATACATCTTTTCTCTGACAGATAATTAGTTGTTCCGTTGAATTTGCTTAAGGACAGGCCAAGCTGCACACAAAAGTAAGATTAATCTCTTCAAGCCAGGAGTGGAAATCTATTCATAGTAATGCCCATCTGTTGCATTCTTTCAGGTATGCTTTGCTGATAGTGGACAGTGCTACAGCCCTTTACCGGACAGATTACTCTGGCCGTGGTGAACTGTCAGCCAGACAGATGCATTTGGCCAGATTTCTACGTATGTTGCTTCGAATTGCAGATGAGGTAAATTAATAATCTGACCTACATGTCATTTTTGTTCCAGTTGCAAAGTTCAGGGCAAGTGTTTCTGGACACGCTTATACTGGTGAATAGGAACAGACAACTGGAAAATATTTTTACATCAAAGAAATTAAAAATGATCACATGTTTTTTTTCTATGGCAGTTTGGTGTGGCAGTAGTCATCACGAACCAGGTGGTAGCACAAGTAGATGGAGCTGCAATGTTTGCTGCAGATCCCAAGAAACCTATTGGAGGAAATATCATTGCACATGCTTCAACAACTAGGTAAAATGTCAAATTATTAGTCTCTTGTCTGCATTACTTTTTCAGGTTATCCTTTGACCAAGTGTGAAATGTTTATATGGTTGGAGGTCTATATGTGGAGCTTAGTAGTTTCATTCTTGGAGCAAGAACAGATTTTGTTCTTCAGACAGAATTCGAAGGTTGATATCATCATCATTTTCAGTTTGTGCCCTAGCTCAAAGCAGCTGACAGCTTTAACAAAACGTAAGATACATTGAAACATGATGGCTTAAAGGTATAAAGCCACAAACTAATTCCTAAAAATGGCCAGATTTGTATCAAGTGTACCTTAAAAGAACAAAAAAAAAAATCCCGAGCTCAAGGATAGCCAGAATTGAGTGACTTTGTGCCAACCAGCCATCTCAATAGGTTTATAGAGGACATCAGCTGAGAACTGGTTGATGGACAGTTATGATAGGAAAATAAGGGAGGGGCACACTCTTCAAACAGTGTTGGGTCTGTTAAATTGATTTATGGTGAAACTTGATGGTAGGGATTGTGAATAGTAGTAGAGATGCAGTGCAAACTAGAAGCACTGGGAGTCGTGTGCTTCCAGTAACCCTTTCTCATCAGTAGGTGGCCTGTGTTAGTCTTTTCTCACTATGTCTCTAAAACAGCTTTCAGAGAGCACTTTGCAGATATAGCCTCACCGTTATGAAGACAGAAAAGCAGTTGCTGAGTGTGAATGTGATAGAAAGGCCTCACAGTTGACTTGCCAGATGGTATTGATGAAGGCGTTTATGAGAAATTAATATAAACATAAATGCAATTATTACTAGGAAGTTGCTCCACCATGCCACCTGATGCAAGCTAGGGTGGTCCTATGATTTGGAAGCAAACAGGGCCACCCAAAATGAAGGTAGTGGTTTTTGCATTCTTGAGGCAACTCCCTAGGTATGCAGAAGTATATTAGTTTGCCAACTAAAAGAAATATTTGTAAACATAAACCAATGAACAGTTTTCAGGGCCTATAGAATGTTAAGGGCAATTGAATTCTGAAAGTGACCATTGAAATAGATACAAGTAAAAGAAAAATGGAGGGAAGGAATTGGGCTGCTTCAGCCCTTAGGACTGCAGGAGGAGAATGTATGTCATGTCATTCTTTCACTAAAAAGGGAAGCAAGGCAAAAGAACATCTACACCCCACCCCACCAATCTCATTCCCCAGAACCCCTCAGCAATAAAACACTGGTTTCATGCTGGCTGCTAGCCTTGAACTAGTGTTCTTCAGCACATTATAGCGCAACAAGAGAAGGTTTCAGAAAAGTGGAGGAGAAAAAAAAGTGTCCTTTTTCCTTTTACACATCATGAAAGCCCCCAACCCACTACCCTAAAGCACTATGAGGTTCCAGGCTGAAGGAGTTCTCCTGTAAGTGGCTGGAGATGTGCTGTAACATTCTACTGTGAATCCCCATTTGCTTGTCTGGGGTTGGGAGGAGCTACCTTTCATGGTCTCCTTAACTGTCCTGTTCCAAAATAACTTCTGATTAAGTTATTATGAAGCAGGCTAGCTGACCAGGGAGCAGTGAGACACAAACTGCTGTGGATTATTGAATATGATAAGACTGCACAGTTGGATGTTGCGTCATATATCAATCTCTACTTGAAAGATAAAATTTGCATGTTGAATGTAACTCAGCATTTGTACATGCCTGCAAATTGCCCCTCACCTAACTGCCTGTAGAAAGAAAGAATTGTCCCCCGTTCTCTTTTCTAGCCTTAAGTTCTAGAAGACATCAGGTTGCTTCACCCCCTCAAAGAGGAAATAAATAGACCTGAGTCTATAGACCTCAATTCCTGTTGTTCCTCTGCTCAGTTGGGGGGGGGGCGGGGGGGAGAGGAGGAAGGAAGTAGAGAACAAGGAATCCTCACAACTCAGCAGGTGAGTTGTTATATTAATAGTCGTACCTGTTTGCCTGCCTGCTTGCCTTCCCACTCAGAAAGGAATGCTGCAACCATTTTCAACCTGCTGTGAGAATAAGCTCTTTGCCTCACTTACCCATTCTCACCCCCTTAATTCACAATAATTTATCACAGGTGGGGAGAATTAACTTGTAGATAATTGATCTGGAGTCGCATGGCTGCTAAGTATTTTTACTTTAAATAGATAAACAGTTGCAATTGAATAAATGCATTAATTTCTTCCTGCCAGGCTGTACTTGAGAAAAGGTCGGGGTGAAACTAGAATATGCAAAATCTATGATTCGCCTTGCCTCCCTGAAGCAGAAGCCATGTTTGCTATTAATCCTGATGGAATAGGAGATGCTAAAGACTGAAGAATACCATATTTCAATTTGCAAGAAGAGAGTGGTCAAAAAAGGCTCTCCTTTTCATATGATCCTTCAAGATGATTCTTCCACCATAGCTTTAGGCTTCAGACTGCCAGAGAAAGCTTCCATACACTATACCTGGACTGACTACTCCTGCTGGTGTTGCTGCAACTAGTTGCAAAACAAACCTCAAGGACTGTTTGTCCTGCTGACCCACATCTGATGTTTGTCGGCGTGGTGGATCCTTCCATTGTTTAATACAGTAATGTGGTGAGAAACAACTTAAACATTTACAAAATGTGTGCAAAGCTTATGGATACAGAAAGTATGAAATACTGAACATTTCCTGGTTATAGTGACTGATGCCAAAGCAGAATGGAACAAGTATGTTCAGTAAAGGAGATTTGCTTATCCTAAAATTCAGGCAGCTGCCAGTTCAGATTAGAGGCTTTTTAATAAAGGCATTAGCAGAGAACCTGTTTGAACTGATAGCTCTACATCTTTAGAACAGAAACTGAAATTAACTTTTTTTATTACTCTGTTTGCACTGCTGTAAATTGAGATGTTATTTGCATCAACCCAGAAAAGCTTGGCATCTTTCTATGTAACAGCGTTGCTGAGATGTGCTCTGCATCTTTATCTTCTGCCTGTAAATACTTTCTAGACAATTTGATTTAATTAAAGTTAATCATACACATCTAACAGTTTGGCTTTAGCAATGGGTGCCTGTTGTGTTCTTACTCTTATTCATTGCTCTGTGGCAAACACAAATGTACAGGAAATCATATTTAAACTCCTGTAAGCCCCAGATAATAAGACCTAACAATAAGTATCTGGAGAGCACCATGTTGGCAACCTCAGACATAGATTACATGTGGATCCCAATGAAAGAAGAATCTAGGCAGAGTTTGTTATGCTTTGCAACAGAAAAATCAAAATGATTCTAATGCAGACATTTCATTTGTATGCTTTGGATTAGAAATGTTGGAAGCTACTTTATACTGAGTCAAACCATTGGTCCCTCTAGCTCAGTAATGTCTGCACAATCCTGAGCTAGAGCTTTGGACATAGAGTCTCTCTTAGATGGCAGGGGTTGAACCCAGGCGCATCTGTATTCAAAACAAATGCTCTGCTCCAGAGCTCTCATCTTTCCCTGGAGCACTGAGTTGCATTGTTTTAACTTCTACAAATTCAGTGGATTTTCACAAAGGTCTAGTGGGTGAAAAGCAAGCAAGGTAGACATGAGCTGCCCAGCGGACAAACAAAAGCCCATTTAGCATTACTTACCAGAGCTTTAAACAAGCACTTAAGATTCAGACCTCCTCCCTACAAGAATGACACTTTTGCTGAGGTGCTTGTATCATTAAAAATGCTGTTACATAATGGGTAAGCAAAATGTCAATACTGCAATATGCATAGCACATAAGACTTGCATTTTTGTGATTGCTTCTCACATTGGGTTTTTTTCCTTACTTTCATATTAAAAACAGAGGAGAACAACCACAGGTGTTAATGAGAGCCTTAGTAAAACAGCACACAAAGTTCTTCCTGAGCTTCTCTACTATCTGTGCAATAACAACTACACATCTAATTGTTCCAGCCAATACCCTACACCTGTTTTAAGCGTGCAGGCATTCACAGAGTAGTGTAAAAGAGAGACTATGACTCATTCATAACACTAACTTTTAGAATCTCATGTGAACTGCATTACTACACCTAGTGAACACCAACCCTATCATAACTAATTGCAGCAGTAAAGAGTTGGTTGAAACAACTGACTTTCTTTTAAAAAACTGAATTCAAAGGTTTACACAATTCGTACAACACTATCTGCAGTCTTATAAGGTCTAGCTGAAATACTGTGGCAATGTAAACAAATGATAAATGCAGCAGTAAATTAAAGCTTTGCTGGAATTTTCAGGTACAGAAAGCATGTAGAATGGAAAGGGAATGACATTTTTTATTTCCTAAAATGGTGTTAAGCAAATTCTATGTTGTATGCCAGTGGGCCTGTTTTGAATATTTAAGTTTTAAGTTACATTCAAGTTTCATATATTTCAGTGGGCCATGTTTTCAGGCGTCAAATATGTTTGCAGTTCGTCTGATGCCAGCTATCTAAATACTACATAATGTGCATTTTATCTCTGCTTATCACTGGGTTGTACAGCCATGTGCCTGCACTGTAGATGAAGGCAATCACAAAGACAACAGAAGCTTCCCTTGTGTGCCTCCTAGAGGCATCCGGTTCACTATTCGATGAGAACCGGAAGCTAAACTAGATGGGTCTTTGGTCTTAATCCTCTTCTTACATTATGTTCCTCTGCACCACATTGTTTTTGTCTTTTGGAAAACTTATTTCCTATGCTTCCAGTTTAGTGCCAAGTCTCCTATCACATGGCAAGGTGATCAGCAGTTGAATTGCTCACTATCTTTCTGCCCCCTGTGCCTGATTATGGGCAAAGGCTACACAATGTGCAGGTTTTGCTTTTTAATGGCAACTCAAATATTTCACTAGAACCTAAACGGATGTTTAGATGTAACTTACTTTAAAAATCAGAAATTAGCCGATATACAAATAGTCTGAGACCCTAAATGTATTGTACCAGTTCTTAAGGACTGCACGGGTTTTAAAGAAATTTGACTAATCAAAACTCCATGTGTTGAACATGAGTTTCTGGTTTTGTGTTTTTCTCCCGAGGATGGTTTGACAGCTGGAGAAGAGGCTAGGCATCCTGCTGCCTAAACTGACCCAAACTGTTTGAGTACACTGGTTTAGTTACCAGTCACGAACATCCTGCTGCCACTCTTTGGAGGTCTAACACATCTGCTCTACATATCCAAGAAAACTGGCAACACCATGGGGTATACAATTAGCATGTTGTACACAAATTAAACTGCTGCCTAATATATGTGAGATGTCGAGGAACCACAGAGCCAGAGGAACTGAGCCAGCATCTCAGTTGGATGAAGAAATAGGGAGTTAGCGTTGAGAAATCTGTTCTATAATTTCTGGAAAGAAAATCCACATCTTGTAACAAGTTTGCGGGCAGAGAGCTGGCTGAATTTGACACTGTGTGTGGTCAGAGAAGTCTAGTTCTTTGCCCAGCTTTTCAGAAGCATATGATAATTTTTTCCATATGTTGGCTTAATTGGCCTAAAAATAGGGAGATTGATGGCATGAATTAGAAATCTCTTAATTTTTGCAAACATTTTTATATAAGCAGTACCCAGTATTAGGCATACTCAGAGAAGACCCAATGAAATCAATGGGCTTAGTTACTTAAGCTCATTGACTTCAATTGGTCTAGTCCTGAGTGTGACTTACCATGTGAGATATCACCCATGCATTATACAGTAGTTGCATGCTACACCCACTATGAATATTGATTTTCAGGGCACAGATGTATCTTTGAAATGTAGTGTGGGTGATAGAAGTATCCTGTTAAATAACACAAGGGAAGTGGTGGCAACTTCTGTTAATCTACGTGGGGGAAAATGCAGGCTGAAGGGGATGATCCTGCATCCTTTCCTTCTATAGTCTGTGCACATGTTTCTCCCTCTGAAAGTACGATTGGTGCCTACCTGAAGCAACCCTTTCCATGACCCTCAGTTGATTGGAAGGGAGTTGGGTTCAAATCTCAGTGTCTGAAGTGATGGAGGTGGGTGCTGAGAAATTCCATTTCAGTAACAACCAATCCCAGGGAAGCCAGCAGGAGCCCCTGGGAGAGTTTTCTTTGTGAAGGTCAGGGTTGCCCTGGAATGGGTTCGCCCTGAGAGAGAGGCCCGAGCCTTGGAAAGCGTTCTGGTTACAGCAATGTCCGGCAAGATCTCAGTGGCCCTTGAAAATCTGAGGGAGAGGGTCTAAATCTCATACCCATAGCCACAGCAAGTCTCCAAGGTGAACAGCCTCTGGCATGGTAAGAATTTATACAACTTGATGTTGGCAGGGGTCCTGCTAAATGAAATAGCTTTGTGCAGTAGTCTATATTATGATAGTTTGCAAAACTTTTCTTTCCTGTGGACAAACTGAGAACTTCAATATTGTGCTGTTGGGTTCAGCTGTCACTAACAGGACAATCCTTTCTCTATTGTCTTCCTTGTCATAACTGAACCTGCTTTGTTGTTGGCATTCGTCTGTCTCGAGAGACAATGGAGTGCCGCTCCAAAGTGACCTCCCAGGACACAAGCCTGGGCAGTGTGTACGGAGGTCCTGGGCTGCCCAGTCGACAAGACTCCCACTCTCAGCCTCACTGATGTGGTCCAAAGGAAAGCAGAGCAATACATTCGGCACTGGCGTGGCTGCAGGAGTTGCTGGAAGGAGGCTTACAAGGTGCCATCCAACCATCTTAGGGACTCCACTCTGTGTAGAGTTTACTCCTTCTCCCAAATATATCCCACAAGGCAGCAGAGCCTTAGGATCAGTTTTCCTTTTCCTAGATGGGCTACCTTCTCAGGTTGACGAACCCTACCTGCCATTGGACTCACTATTGGTCTCATCCATTCAATCTGCCTGTATTCACATGCAGAAGAAGTCCTTAACTTACTGAGGGTTGAGACCCATTGGTTATCCTCACCTGGTTTAGCTAGCCAGCTGAAGCTGTTTCCAGGGGTGTGGCTGCTGTTGGATGCTGACAGCTTCTGGGGGCTACAGGTGAGAGCTGGGTACGGGGAGGGGTGGACAAACTACCCAGAAGGAGCATGACATGTTCCCCAGCAGAGGTACTACCCCTCCCCTAACACCCCATGCCCCCACAACTGCTTTGTAGTACTAAATAAAATACAACAGTTGCTCTGGAAGGATCATTGTCCAAGAACTATAGATTTCATTCGCTTTTTAATGGAAATGTGTCTTTATTTATTTCACAAGATTTATACACCACTTGATTGTAAGAAAACTTCAAAGTGGTTTGTGAAAAGAATAAAACTACAAAATTATCAATAAAAACAAGTTAAAAATCAGCAATAAGCTAAAAACCAGACTGAAACACATGTTAACATTCTACATGTCTGGTTAGGTTTGCCTAAACAAAAATGTTTTTGGCAGGTACCAAAATGAGTAGTGAAGGTGCCTGCTGGATGTCATTAAGTAGGGAGTTGACGTCTTACAAATGCTGAACAAGTGTTATGTAGCACCTATCTTGTGTCTCAGTAAAAGTGAGTTGGTTTCACATTGTAAAGTTAACTGTAATCTTCCAGTATAGTCAGTATCTATAAATGCACATATGGATATCATACCTGTACAAAGGAAAACATATAGTTATCCATGCATGCACATATTATTTGCACAGCATATGATCTGCACCTAGCATAGGGTGGGAGTTATGCTCTGAGAGAGTTCTACACTGCAAATACTTAGGGTGGTATTCAGCTAAGTTTTACTCAGATTAAATGTGTCGAATTCAATAAACATGGCCCATTCCAGTGGATCTACTCGAGTACAACTCAGTTGACTATCACCCATTCTCTCAAGAGTTTGTGGTCCTTGGAGGTTCCATATTACATAAGAACATACAGAGAGTCTGCTGGATTAGGCCAATGGCCCATTTTATCCAGCATCCTATTCTCACAGTGGCCAGCCAGATGCTTGTGAGAAGCAGACAAGCAGAACCTGAGTGTAATGGCCCTCTGCCCACCTGCCATTCCCAGAAATGCATTCAGAGGTATGTGGCCTCTGGCAAGGGAAAGTGGAACATGGTTATCGTGGCCTTTGGTAGCCTCATCCTCCATGAATTTGTCTAATCCTCTTTTAAAGCCATCCAGGTTGACGGCCGCCTCTGCCTCTTGTGGGAGCGAGTTTATATGCTAGGTGAAAAAGTACTTTTGCTTTTATCTGCCCTGAGTCTCCCAACGTTCAGCTTAATTTTCAGCTTTTGTGCCTCATTTTATGAACTCCCATCGTGTCTTACTTGCCTTTCCTCTCAACTGAAAAATCCCCAATGCTGCAACCTTTCCTCCTAGGAGAGTCGCTCCATGCCCATGATCAGGGGAGGCCTGGTGGGCTTTCTGGGGCTGACGGCAGGCAGCTTTTCCCTTCAGCCCTCCGCCCTCCCTCCACAATCTTGTGGATGGGAAATGAAGAGTTAAGGGGAGGCTGTCACAAGGTGAAAGCGGCTGGAAGGGAGAAGGGAGGCAGTCACGCAATGAAAACAGCGCTTGCTCAAAGGGGGCAGGGTTCTCACGCATTGCCGTGTAACCCTGTCATCTATCTTGTCACGGTCCAGGCCCTCCTGTCAGCATTAATCCACCCCGACAGTGGATTAATCTTCCCCTCACACACACTTCCCTCCCAAGGGTGAGACGGGGAGGGGGGCCGAGTTGAGAGAGAGTCTGTTCTTCGGCCAAGAAGCCTCCACTCCTCTGGCTCGCACCCGTCCTGAAATAACAGCTAGTTAGGGAGAGCGGTGATTATGTCTCGATTTTGCACGCCAGAAGGAACTTTTTCATTTCAATTCCTCCTTTTCATTGGCAAGATATCCTGACAGCTAGCCCTCCCTCCCTCCCTCCCTCTCACCGCCCCCCTCCCTCCACTAAGCACACAAACATACTGAGGGGAATTCATTAGAGGAACGGAAGGCCCATTATTATATTCCAGGCAGAAGCCTTCTTCCATCAGACTTAGGTGCAGGTGCTCAGGGTCGGGCAGAAAAAAACCCCCCAAAAAACCTACTCTCTGCCATTCTTTGGACTTTAAATGTAAGCTGGAATGGGAGGAGAACAGTGTTTGAGCAAAGCACTTGGATAACCTTTGCCTGTTGGTTTAACCTGGAATGTATACAGAGGCACTTGTGCTTCTGAAATATTTGACAGAAAGTAACCGGGCAGAAGGAACTCTTCTTGAATCTTGGCTGGAGTAGGTTTGCTGCAAAATGTTACTAGGTCTCCCACACTGCATGTGGATTTGGAAAATCTGTTTGGAATATGGCTCTGCAAACACTACAGTGGAAGCCCGGTGCAAATACGACATTCACTTTAAGAAGGATTGGCCTGGTTGCTTATTCCCTTGCTGGCATGAATGTCATGTTTCCCGCTTGAATGGTGTATTTAAAATCATATGAATATTTGGCATCTAACAATATTTGAGGTTTAATATTGCTTATTATTCAATAATGATACGCAATGGTATTTAATGTCTGGCTGTGAGAGAGAGTTCTGATGTATGGTGGCATTTGCTATTGGACAACTATTGGCAGAAAACCAACAGTAAGTTACTGTTGATAGCATTGGTATTTGATATTTTAAATTTAAATTGAGGTTAAATTTCAATAGGCTGGTGCTCAGAGGGAGTGAAGGGCTGGATGTGGGACAATAAACTGAATTCTGAAATAACCGAGGCATTATGTGTCCTGAGTTCTCAAGTCTGGGAGGTGGGGAGACAATCTGTCTTGGATGAGGCTGCACTCCCCTTGAAGCAGCAGACCCACAACTTGGGAGTATTCCTGCATTCAACATTGTCACTGGAGGCTCAGTGGCTAGAATGCTAGGAGTCCCTTTTTCCAGCTCTGTCTACTTTGCCAACCACAGTCTCTTTTGGACAGAATTGACTTGTACTTCCAGGTTGGATTATTCCAGTACGTTCTGTGTGGGGCTGCCCTGGAGGATGACTTGGAAACTTAAATCGGTCCAAAATGCAGTGGCTGGGGTTCCATTTAGATCTCATGTAAGCTCTGATTTAAAACAGCTGCATTGGTTGCCAGTTTGTTTCTGGGCCCAAATTCTGGGTTCATGTTAGTCTTTAAAACCCTAAATGACTTAGGCTCCAAAAACCTGCCTCCTTCCCTACAGATCTTCTCAGGAGTTGGGTCCTCTTGATACTTCTAACCCCCTCAGAAGTTTTTTTTTGGGGGGGAAGGTCCCAGGTGAGAGCACTCTGTGGTGACCAGTAAGTTGTGGAACTCCCTCCCCACAGAAGTATCTCTAACACCTTCACTGTACAGTTTTTGGTGAATGCTGAAGATGCATTAAGTCCCTTTGACCTGAGATGCGTATTTTCAGGACTCACTTTGTGACTCTGATTTGTTTTAAACTGTGTTCAATGTTATGCTTTCAATTTTTGTGACCCACCCTGGGACACTAGGGTGAGGGGCAGGTATCCATTCAGATTTTTGTTGATAATGATGATATCTTACATTTCAAAAAGTTGGATTGTTTTGATTCCCCCTCCCGCCCAAAAAAATTCTTTTCTTGCCAGCTTCTCATATGGTGCATTCCTAATCCTTTATTATTGCACTCGGTACAACCTTGAGCACAAAGAGGTTTGTGATGGACAAAATTCTATGTTTTCTCTTTCATAATTTGAGATGAGCCCCACACTGTGCCAAGCAACAAGAAAGCCATACACATCATGCTAATGGATCTTTTACGAGCTGCTGAGGTCATGGGTAAGAAAAAGTTCAGTGGTGAGGATGGGGGAGTAGGGGAAGACAGGTAAGGAGTTCAGGTTTAGTTAGTAGAGCAGAAGCAGTTCACCAGAGGAAAAATTAGAGAATGGAAAAGGCACTGAATCAGCTACAGGAAAATGCAAGGTAACACAGAGTACAGTTATTCATTCAGTTCCCTTCTGACTTGTAAAATGGTAGCTGCTTGCATTTTACATTTACATCTCCCCTTTTTCTCCATGGAACTCATGGTAGCCAACTTCCTCCTTACTTAATCCCCACAACAAATCTAGTTAAGGCACATCCTGACTCACAATATGCAACACACATCCCAATACATCTCACACTCAAAATCCATCCTGTATCTGCACAAATCATACCATAACTTGCTGTGCAACCCATTCTACTCACACACATCCACCAATTGCTCCTTTCACTCTACTGAAAACACCAGGAGACAATGAAACCATTGTCACCGAATCATGGCAATTTTGTGTGGAATTAAGTTTCACCGAACTCAGTGGGACTTTATTTTGCAC